ATGTGAACCCCTTGGGATTACGTGGAGTTTTGCATGAATTGGGCATAAAATGTGCTCTGAACGTCATCTAAGTCACAACAATAGAAGAACACAGTCCGCTGAACATAATACTACACAAACATTAGATGCTGCCATGGTTTAATTGCACATAACATGTAAACATTCACAGTGCAGGGAGGAAAAAGTATGTGAACCTTTGGACTTAATAACTGGTTGACCCTCCTTTGGCAGCAATAACCTCAACCAAACGTTTCCTGTAGTTGCAGATCAGACCTGCACAACGATCTGGAGTCATTTTGGACCACTCCTCTTCACAAAACTGTTTCAGTGTAGCAATATTCTTGGGATGTCTGGTGTGAATCGCTCTCCTAAGGTCATGCCACAGCATTTAAATCGGGTTGAGGTCAGGACTCTGACTGGGCCACTCCAGAAGGCGTATTCTGTGCCGTTGCAGCCATTGTTTTGTTGAATTACTTGTATGCTTTGGGTCATTGTCCTGTTGCATCACCCATCCTCTGCGGAGCTTCAGTTGGCGGACAGATGGTCGTACATTTTCCTGCAAAATGTCTTGATAAACTCTGGAATTCATTTTCCTATCAATGACAACAATCCGTCCAGGCCCTGAGGCAGCAAAGCAGCCCCAAACCATGATGCTCCCTCCGCCATGTTTCACAGTGGGGATGAGGTTTTGATGTTGGTGTGCTGGGCCTTTTTTTCTCCACACATAGTGTTGTGTGTTTCTTCCCAAACAACTCAATCTTGGTTTCATCTGTCCACAGTATATATTTTGCCAGTAGTGCTGTGGAACATCCAGGTGCTCTTTTGCAAACTTCAAATGTGCTGCAATCTTCTTTTTGGACAGCAATGGCTTCCTCCGTGGTGTCCTTCCATGTACTCCATTCTTCTTTAATGTTTTCCTTAATGTAGATGTGTCAACAAAAATGTTAGCATGTGCCAGAGATTTCTGTAGGTCTTTAGCTGACACTCTGGGATTCTTCTTTACCTCATGCAGCATTCTGCGCTGTGCTCTTGCAGTCATTTTTACAGGACGACCACGCCTAGGGAGAGTAGCAACAGTGCTAAACTTTCTCCATTTGTAGACAGTCTGTCTTACCGTGGACACATGAACATCAAGGCTCAAGGAGATACTTTTGTAACCCTTTCCAGCTTCATGCAAGTCAACAATTCTTGATGGTAGGTCTTCTGAGAGCTCTTTTCTGCGAGGCATGGTTCACATCAGACAGTGCTTCTTGAAACCAGTAAACCCAAAACAGGTGTGTGTTTTTTAAGGGCAGGACAGCTGTCAGCAACACATCCAATATCATCACACTGATTGGAGTCAAGGTTGGCTCACTCCTGGCTCCAATTATCTCTGAGAGAAGTCATTAAGCTAGGGCCTCACATACTTTTTCCCCTCCCTGCACTGTGAATGTTTACATGTTATGTGCAATTAAAACCATGGCAACATCTAATGTTTGTGTAGTATTATGTTCAGCAGACTGTGTTCTTCTATTGTTGTGACTGACGTTCAGAGCACATTTTATGCCCAATTCATGCAAAACTCCACGTAATCCCAAGGGGTTCACATACCTTGCAAACTGTACCTGTTATACCATCAGCATAAATTGGTTTGGTTTGAAATTTAGTTGGTCCAATCTGGTTTGCCTATCTCCATTGGTGGCACTGTCAATACTACATATATCATCATATATATAAACACCACCATCAATCCCACCCCGCAAGCCAAAGTCCTTGGCGTCATTCTGGACTCAAACCTTTCCTTCAAACCTCATGTCAAATCACATTACAAGCACATGCAGGCTCCACCTTCACAACATCGCCAAGATACGCACCTCCCTTACCCCAGACACTAAACTACTCGTCACTCCCTGATTATCTCACGCCTCGACTACTGCAACTCCCTCCTCACCGGCCTACCCCAGTGCAGGCTCTCCCCACTTCAGACCATCCTGAACTCAGCGGCCAGACTCATCCACCTCACCACCCGCTCCACCTCTCCACTGGCTCCCTATCGCCCAACGCATCAAATTCAAACTACTCACTCTGACCTACAAAGCCATTCACAACACTGCCCCTAAATACCTCACCAACCTGATTCCCAGGTACCACCCTACCCGTACCCTTCGCTCTTTACAAGACCTCCTTCTATCTTGCTCCCTGGTCTCCTCCTCTCACGCACGACTGCAAGACTTCTCCAGGTTCTCCCCCATCCTCTGGAACTCACTACCCCAATCCATCAGACTGTCACCTTCCCTCCTCACCTTCAGGCGCTCCCTGAAAACCCACCTCTTCAGGGAAGCCTACCCCACCCTCACCTAACAGCCGTTCTCCTTCATTCCTCCTACCACTCCATCCCCCACAGCCACTTCCTCCTCTACCACTACCCCCTCCCTCCTAGATTGTAAGCTCGAAAGAGTAGGGCCCTCTAACCCCTCGTGTGCTGTTTGTAGTTGCTGTACTGTTTCATGTATTGTCCCCCCTATATTGTACAGCGCTGAGCAAACCCTTTGGTGCTATATAAACTCGATGTAATAATAATAATAATAATGATATCATTGCACCAGTATATAAGCTATTATATGCATTCCAGTCTGCACACTCTGCGTTATGTTCTACACTCCATACTGTTCCATTGTATACACTGCGTTATGTACTCTACTCCATGCTGCACCATTGTATACATTGCTTTATGTACTCTGCTCCACACTGCTTTATTATATACACTCTGCTTTATGTAGTTTGCTCCACTCTGCTCCACTGTGCGCATTCTGCTATACACACTATATGTCAGGCCTGTCACAAATACATAAAAGACTGTTGATTACTATTTTGTTTTAAATGCTAATTTTGAGTAAGTTGAGATGCCTTTTTAGATATTTGGTGCCAAAAATTGTACTAAAGCCAAGAATTTTTGTGTAAATTGTTGTAGGCTATAATATCTGTCATGTTTTGCTGCTTTCAGCTTTGGCTGATGTTAGGCTTTACTCTCCATAACATTGTTGTGCTAAAAGAACCTGGGTTGATCTTACCAGTGGAGTCCAACTAATGAAGCTTCCTTTGATGGTGTGGCAACAATGCTGCACTGCTCTTGAGTTAAGAGCAGAGTTGACATATAGGCTGTGCCTGCTTGCATTTAATGGGATAAAAAATTGATGCAGGGAGTGTGCCTAACAGCATTGTCACTACTTATTCACAAGCCTGTAGTTTGTAAATCAACACTAGGACACACCTAGTCCTGCCCACTGTTTTCTGGATTGACAGCACTGCCTCTATTGCCAGGGTAAGCTACAGTTTCTAGAATGGGGAGTGTGTGCAGCACAAATAAAGGAGGATTTGAGTAAGGGAAGGTAAATGAAGTTTTAATTTGCTCAATGAGGCCTGTGCATAACATGGTAACTGGATTTTGTACTTATTTAGACTGTCATACATGAGAAGTTACTTTTTGGGTAATCAAGGGAAATAGTGATATTAGAAACTTTCAAGCTGCTGTTTTAAGTAAACTGCGAGCAACTCAACTCAGAATTCAATGAGCAGGTGGACAGTGGTGCACAATCCAGAGTTTCTCAGCTTTTTGCTCTAATAACTAGCAAAAAGGACTTCTTAAAGCTGAAATTTGGCTAAAAATGATTCCTTACAGCTTTGATCATATCATTTATTTGTAATGAAGTATGTCCCATGTTGTGAAGGCAGCTGGATCCTGGGGAAATCTTCACTGTAGGGGTGCCTGTGTTCTTCCTGTCTCTGAACCTCTGGCACTGGGATGGTTAACAGCTTCGGTTCTGCAGGAAAAACAGCAGTACAGATGAACAGACGGGGACATGCCCTTCCTTTCTCCTACAATGAGAAACATTATTTCATTGCTTTCAATGCCTGTAACACAGTCGGTGAATGGTAGAGAATCTGCTCATTCACAGGATTCTCTCTGCCATTCACAGATCGTGTTACAAGCAGTGTAGCTAATGAAAGACCTTTTCTCAACTGAGGAGTAGGAATAAGGAGGTGGCCCCATCAGACCATTTGTACTGTTGTTCTGCCTGAAGCCACGAAGCTGTCAACCATTGCCGTGCTGGAAGTTCAGAGACAGGAAGAGGACCGGCCTCCCTGTACAGAAGATATCTCCAGGATCCAGCTTCCTGTACAACGTGGTTTATACTTCATTACAGCTAAGTAATGTGACCAAAGCTGTAAGGATTTTTTTCTAGCTAAACTTCAGCTTTAAATCTGTTTCTAACAAATGATAAATGCTTACGTGTAAGGCATATGTATAGTCTGCAAACTAGGTCCTGGTGTTTCTATGTCACATTTTCCTATTCTGAGAAATGAAAGTATGACACTGGGAACCTGTATTAAGCACTAAAAACTTTGAAAGCAGGCCTACCTAGAGGTATCTCCATTTTCTAACAGATGGTCCAGATTTGTGAAAAGGCACCTGAAAACCAAAGGGCAAGCAGCTAAATCAAAAACTTGGAAGGCAAAGAAAACTCTTTAGATCAGGGTCTTTCAATGTTTTTGATATGTATGGCACTATAAGAAATACATTTGGCCACTACCCCAAGTGGCTAATTTATAAATATTGAACACAAAAGGAAAAGGAGTTGTGTTAGAACCAATGTGTTAATGCTTTTCATTTTAAATTCTATACTGAAAAATGTTGAAAGTCTGGTTGTTTTTAAGAACATCTCCACTATTTGTCTCTTCTTCTGTAAATGTGCTCAACCAATCCTACATCTGTGTGGTCATCAATGTTTCCTTATGGGTACGATACTACCAAGTTTAAATTGTTTCCATTTTTGTCAGACTTTATCCTTTTATGTTGGTCATCCAGCATCAGTAAAATGGCACATTTGAAGTTCTAGATATTATTTAATTTAGGATGTCATATACAATTTTTTTCATGGTAATATGGTCCTCAAAGACCACTAGATGAGTCCAGCAAGTTGTGCTGCATGTAAGTGATGTTTCTTCTGTTCTCCTTGTAGATGGATGAAATTAAATTTAAAGACAGAGCAGTCTACATGCTGGAGAAAGAGTTAGGTGTGCAAGCCGGCCAAACCCAAAGACTTCAGCTCCAAAAAGAGGCTCTAGATGAGCAGCTTACCCAGTTCAAAGAATCTGACCGTCATCTGGGTAGCCCAAAGAGAGAACTTCCTTTTGCAAGTGGTGCAGGAGAAGCTTCTGATCATTCGGGGAGCCCTGTAAGGATTCTGCTCGCTGGCTAATAAATCGTCCTTTTAACAATTTTTCACCCTAAAGTTTCTTGCTATCTTGCTGTTTTGTGTAGCATAGAGCACATTTTCTTACAAAATATGTATTTTTGAATTTTTAGGAGGCATATTTTTTTTCTGAGTATATGTGTTCCTGCAGAACTTGAAAATGACTGTCTTCAGCAGGGAAGCCTTCTATTGTTTCACTACACACATGAAGCTGCTGAAATTTGATATCTAAATGAATGCGCCCATTGCCCTTAAAGTGGAACTCTTCTAAATTTCTATTGGGTGACCATTTCTAATGGGGACATTAAATGTCCCCACATTACTAAGGTGATTTAATTCCTGTGTCCCCATTGAAGAGATTTCCGCTCATTTTCTGCCACCTTCAGCAGACCAGAACATTCTAAAAAATTAAATAGGTTCTAAACTCCACCCCCCCTCCACTGTATCCAAAACTGAAAAAAGTCTGAGCTGGAGTTCTCCTTTAAAGGAAATCTGACAATATCTTTTCCACCTGCTCAGTTATGCTTATAAGTAAGTGCTGGAAGCGGCTACAGTCCAACTGCTGAAGCCATTGGCAGTTCCAAGGTGCCTGAAGCTGCACGTGTACACTGCCCTGGTAGTTGGGCTGTGGTAGCCTCCAGTGCAGGCTTTGAGCACCGCTGGAATAGGTAAGAAGAGACATGGCTGGTTTCTTACAGCATTGTGGCATAACCATATTACTGCATTCCTATAATTGTAAAATGGAAGTTTATGTCAGAGACTTATCTCAGAACTTATGCTCAAATTGTTTAATGACAGTGGCCACTTTCATCTGAATTTGTCATTGTTTATCACACTTTAAATATTTAGCCATAGAGACTATTGATTTCCATAGTGACAGTAGTGGGTCACCTCTGATTCAATGTCTTCAGTGCATCCCATTAACCTTAGAAGGAAATGTGGACGAAAGATGACAAAAATACTGCTATATCCAATAAGAAAGTAGCAGGATGCCGCAACACTCCTGACTAGGAGCCCTTAGTGAATTACATATATCATATGATCAAATCTAATATGAGAAAAGGAAGCCAATCATTTGAGAAACTCAGAGGCTGCCATTGGTGACCTCTTCTTCTGAAAATGCTAGCCTGGAACAAGCATATAGATAGGTAAAGGTGACCTTTCTTCAACTTTTCTGATCTTTATACATGTTCTTGGTAGCTGGAAAGTGTTAAGCCTAGCCAGGTTGAATTTAAAGAATTTTTATAGCCGTAACTGTGTTGTTAGTTTTGGATAAAGTAGGAAGTGTACATTCCATCAGGGAGATTTACCTTCACATCCTGTTCTAGAGACATGGATAAATTAAGAGGACATCTCTCCAAAGACAGAGAATATAGTTTCATTGAAACAGGTATCCCTTTTTTAAATCATAATGATAACAGAAATCACCCAAATGGCCCTGATAAAAAGTTTACATACCCTGGAAAGTTTGGCCTTGGTACAGACACACAATGTGACACACACAGGTTAGAATGGCAAATAAAAAGTTCAATTTCCCACATCTGCGGGTATTTAAATTGCAATAGGTGTCTATATATAAATAGTCAATGAATTTATTAGCTCTCACATGGATGCACTGAGCAGGCTAGATACTGAGCCATGGAGAGCAGAAAGGAACTGTCAAAAGATCTGCGTAACAAGGTAATGGAACTTTATATAAGATGGAAAAGGATATAAAAAGATATTCAAATCGCTGAATATGCCAGTCAGTACTGTTCAATGACTTTCTAAGTTAAAAATTCAGGGATCTCTCGATACCAAGCCAAGGTTAGGTAGCCCAAGAAAGATTGCAGCCACAACTGCCAGAAGAATTGTTCGGGACGCAAAGAAAAACCCACAGGTAACCTTAGCAGAAATACAGGCTTCACTGGGAAAAGACGGTGTGGTTGTTTTGAAGGAGCAAAATATGATGATACCTAAACAAAAATGAGCCAGTTGGTCAGGTTGTCAGAAAGAAGCCTGTGCATCCACATGAGAAACTATCCTTTAATTGCCATTGTAACCTGTGTGTATCACCTTGTGTGTCTGTACCAAGGCCAAACATTCCAGGGGATGGAAACTTGTGATCAGGGCCATTTGAATGATTTCTGTTATCATTATGATTTATAAAGGAGCCAAACAAGTATGTGACAACAAAATGGCTTCATATGATCACCATCCTTAAATAAAAGACAGTTTTGTGGCATGATCAGCCATATTTTCAATATCAATGCCAGAATTTGTATGGTTTCTGCCTGCCAGGGTATGCAAACATTAGAGCACAACTACATACTATATATACTGTATATATATATATTCTTCCAATTATGATGCTTATTCACTCTTCCATTTTCATGAATCATAAGAGATCATGATGTTAACAAAATCAAAAACAAGCAGCATCCTTTTATAAACATATGGATGCAGAATTTCATTTACGTAGTGTTTTCTTAAATCATGTTTTAATAGCAGTCTAATGTCAGCTGCTTTAATGCAAAGTACAGACTTCATCTTCTATATTTGCTTAGAATTACAGCAAAATATCTTATAGGAAATATGCTTACAAAGACACATTCTTCTCTTACATTATTCAGTTTGAAGATACAAATGTGTCTACTTGAAACATTGATTTGGTATATTCGAAGATGCAATGCTTTGGCTTCCTGATGCTATAAATTTGGCTCCGCTTGCTTTGTGCATACCATGTCGTGTACATGCTTTGTAACATTTTTCTTAAGGGAGTTTTGTGGATTCCATTTTCTATTGTTCATATTTTTTTTTTAAAAAAATAGTAGATTAAATAATATTCAGCTTTACTTTTTTTAATACATGCAACTGTTGCCAGGTAATCAGAAGTGTAAAACCAGCTGGAACCTTCAAGCACACCTGTACCTATGAAGGGCACAGCACCATGTTGACTTTGACGCCCTCCCTACCCAGCAGCACATATTCTCCTTTACTCTCCCACTGCTCCATTCAGCTGCTGGGAATAAGGAAAGGAAGCTTGATGCAAGCTTCAAGTTGCTTTAGTCAGAGCTTACGCAGACCTGTGGACTCACTATGTGACAGTACTGGACCATTACCAAATACTAGCACTTACAGTATATAAGAGAAAGGGGAGGGAGCAGGGGCGGACTGACCATTCGAACACTCGGGCACTGCCCGAGGGCCCGGGGTCAGTAGGGGGCCCCATGAAATGCCCCTGGTACCTTTTTATAGGATTTTTGGGTATGCTTTTGAGTGTGAGCAAAGGCACAGCGGCCCCATGATCCCCTATTGCCCGGGGGCCCCATGAGTTGTCAGTCCGCCCCTGGGAGGGAGTTACATGCTCTCCTGTACCTGGGGCTACTCTGTATTTTTCTAGCTCCAGGCAATTGAATGGAGCAGACATTGAGGAAAAGGAAAGGTTGATATGGGATTCTGGGAAGGGAGAAGCATCAAAGCAGAAGGATGTAGTTTTCTCCACAATACTGTGCAGCTGGACACTGCTACCCAGAGTGAATTTGTTATTATATTCTATTATATTGCCACAATAATGCAGGACAAAGTGAACATGTTTAACCCCTAAATGTCTAAATAATATCCCTTGTAAAAGAAGGGATCTAATATGTACCTCTCCAGTAGGCAGCAAATTTTGACCTCAATCTGCTGAAGGTCTACGCAGCTGGAGATTCTTCAAACACTCTTGAGTGTGTTGGCTGCCTGGTTCCCTGAATCCCCTCTGTGATTTTGATTTTTTCTGTTGGCCTGAAAGGTACTACCGTGTTCTTTAATGACATGAGGCCAGTGCGTTGAACCACAGAGCACAGAGGGGATAACCAGCATTCCAACACTCTTGGAAGAGTCTCTGTGACTCTTCCAAGCACACCTAGATGTTGAAGATTTTTCAGCCACTGTAGATCTTCAAGAGTGTGACATTAGGATTCACTGTTTTCCAGGAAGGGAAATGTAAGGCCTCTTTTTTTTGCACAATTTTTGAGATAATAATTTTATTTATTTCAGGTACTTATATAGCGCTGTCAGTTTACACACTTTACATATATATTGTACATTTACAACAGTCCCTAACCCCCAAGGGGCGTACAATCTAAGGTCCCTAACTCACATTCATACATACACATACTAGGGCCAATTTAGACAGGAGCCAATTTACCTATCAGCATGTCTTTGGAGTGTGGGAGGAAATAGGAGTACCCGGAGGAAACCCACGCAGGCACAGGGAGAACATGCAAACTCTAGGCAGGTGGTACCGTGGTTGGGATTTGAACCAATGACCCTAGTACTGCCAGACGGAAGTGCTAACCATTTAGCCACTGTGCTGCCCATGAAGCATATACATATATGTATATTTATGTAATGCACACCCCAAGCTTGTCCCGCTGTTTCTTCCAGGTTCTATTCCCCAATGGTTACATGGCAGCCAGGCACACAGCAGTTTCGCCACACAATTAGCAGGCAGAAGTTTCTTTTTTTCTGTTTTATTGGTTGAAGAACTGGGATAGGGAATGGGGTGAGCCAGAACTAGTGCAACTTTAACTGAGGACACTCTCTAATAGAACTAATTTCTTACAAGTAGATCTTTATGGTGAGAGGAGGTGGGCATACAGCTTAAGGGGTATCCCACACTGTAAACAGCTTTGAGCCAGCAAAGTCTGGAACAGTGTCTTTCATCAGAGGACAAAACAGCAACAGTCTCTCCAGGATCTATTTCAGGCCTTGCCTTACTGTGTCCCTTTATATTGTACATGGATGCCTTTTTCTAGTATCATCCAGACCCTATACTGTGAGCCTCCTGGCCAGATCTTTGGTAGACTTTACTCAAAACTGTTCCTATAGCTTCAGAAATTTTCCCCCAGCTCTTCCGGAACTGGAACCGTGTTGAACCATTTGCAGTCTCCAAATGGATAGTCCAAGAGGACAGGCTGGGTCTCTCTCCATCAGGCCTCGGACCCTGCTATTTTAGGCCCCCCGACTATTTATGCAGCCCTCAGCCTCCTGCTGGTCACCCTTTTGACCAGCCTATCTTGAAGGGTGATACATACAGTATATAGTTTATATATACTTTCGAGTATGCATACTCAACATGTGGACCTCCAGCTGTTGTGGAACTACAAGTCCCATGATGCATTTCAAGGCTGACCTTACAAGCATGACTCCAAAAGACAGAGGTATGATTGGACTTTTAGTTCTGCAACAGCTGGAGGGCCACAGGTTGAGTATACATGCTTTAAAGTAACTTTGTAACTTTCTCCTTTTGTAATATAATAGACAATTCACTCAGAATGTTGTGCTGTCCACTGAAAAGCAAATGTTCACTTTTTGAGTTCAGATCAACTCTTGAGATGAGTTAAACACAATCCTTGTCAATGAGGTAGCATCAATGGCTTACATTTCCATGCCCAGACAGTAACTTGTGCATACTTGGTTTGGACTTGCTTATATAGAGTAGACATCTATGTTTGACATTCTGTTGTATAGAGTTTTCATATTCTTATTTTTCATCAGTTTAATGTCTATTGTTTACATTGTTTTGGTGGGGGAGGACACCAATGATAGATTTTACTTAAGGTAAACTTCCCTTGATTTTAACAGGACCTGTCAGGACAGCTGCCATCTCATGTTGAAGGCTGCCCCTGCCTGACTCCCAGAAGTGATGCCAGTTTAGAAGCCAGCTCATCTGTGTGATGCTGCTACTTTCTATATTCATATGTTTATTTGATCATTCCCCTCCAACTGTTCTTGAAATCCTGCTTTTTTATTACTGCTTATTGAAAGTGGAATCCATCTTCCGTACTAACAGATCACTCAAGCGTTGCTTCTCTGCTTCAGTGTTGTGTGCCTTGTAACTTTATTTGCGAGTTTGAAAAAAAGAAAAAAACCCAGTCTGGGTTCGCAACAAGGCATTTTGCAGCTTCCATCATGGCTTTTTTTTTTTATTTGCATAGCTGATCTGTACAACCTACTTCTGAGGGTTGTTAGCCCAAAGTCTCTCCTGCACCAGTTGTATAATGATGATGAAATTGGGACCAATTCTAGAGCGACAGTTCTTTGGTTAAAGAGGGCAAACAATCATCAATCTGTATGTGACAATACGGAGCCAGAATAGGTAGCTGGCTTTATGCTGTAGGGAGTCAGTTGTCTTTAAAGGCAGCTGTATTTAATCAAGAATATAATTTTGCTGTTGCAGAATAGAAAAGCCTTTGGGTGAGTACTGTGGTTGAAATGTAATTTGTAGTTTAGGTAGGATGAGAAAGCTTTATAGATGTCAGTGATTCTAGTAGTTTGTTCATTTGATGTCTGTGGCTTCTTTGTGCTTTCATGAACATACATTTCCCCCTCCTTGATGCCCCCTGTTCCATATGTGTCACATGTCTGGTTCTTGGTTGGGTGTGCCAATGCGTTTTCGCAGTCTTTGGCTTTGTTGCCACATTAATCACGTGTTCAGTTATTTGCAGTGGGTCTTTGTTTCAGGAACAGCAGTTGGATGAAAAGGATGCTCGTCGCTTCCAGCTTAAGATTGCTGAGTTAAGTGCAATTATCCGAAAACTAGAGGACCGCAATGCTCTACTGTCTGAAGAGAGGAACGAACTGGTAAGTCTGTCTCTTAACAGGATGCATCAACTGAATTTAGCAGTAAATATTAGCATTTTAGACCTATCAATGCCTTATATATTAAGCCCCTTTAAACTACTAAATATTAGGGTACTAGGAGTTTAGCTTTGCTCTTATTTTGTAGACCAACAATCAACAGATATGCCAAGTTTGAATATTTAAATAATATCTGTCACCAACCACCTTCTATTACGCCCTAAGAAAACACTTTATTGAAAAAGTCACCATATTATGAAGATGCAATGTTTTTCGGTTGTGCAGGGTCTCCTTTACTGAAACATATAGTGAAAAACATTATTCCTTTTTATATATGCACAGTAACTAACAGAAAGAGACAGCTCCTATTACATAGCATTATTAAACAAGGTGTAAGAACCATATTCTGTAACTGATACGCACAACAAAATCAATGCTGGAGTTAAGAGAACCTAAACTGTGGAAGCTGTTCAGGCAAGGAGAGCAAAAGAGTAAAAAGAACAACCAGTATTTAATGTAGTTTCTCTGCTGCTGATCTTTGCCCCATTACTGACTTCCCATGCTTTGCTCCATACTGTGGCTTTGTGTGGAAGGGGTCAACTTGTTAAAGAAGCAGGGATTTGCTTCCTCATGTAATAGCTGCTTTCCTGATGACTGGTGGAAACATTGAAGAAGAAGTAGGAAAGGTGCAGAAAGCACAGACTGGTTCAATCAGCAGCAGGGATATCCTTGCAGGTCCTCAGGTACAGCTCCCTCTCCTTCTCTCCAGCAAGGAGAATAGTGAACAGCACAGTAACTGCTAAGTCTCACTCTGAATCAGTGAGAGGCAGCAATGCCTTAGATGTGTTCTAGATGCATGGAGCTATCCCTGGAGGAGCCGCTAAACTGTTGGGGTCCTCCTGCTCTGCTGCATTGATTACCCACCCTGTACCTTGTGATACAGACACACCTGTGACTTTTATAATGGTCTTTATCAGTGGATATGCCCTATACTGCTCTGCCACATATAGTTCCTCTCTTCCAGAGTCTTCCATGGCTATAGATGAGTTTACACTTCAGATATACAGATATGATCAAGACACAGGAAGTGATCTGCTACTGTCAGATACATTTTTCAGGGCACTGCTTAGGCATAATTATCAGATATTCACAGCATATAGCACAGCAAATCTTTAGTTTCTGAGTTTTGGCCTAATTTAGAGATTTCTAGGTTAAACACAATCCATAACAATGAGGTTACCCATAGTACCAAGAACTAGTGCATACCTGGGTCCTGAATTGTTGACTTGTCGGACACATCCATTTTTGACATTATATTTTATAGTGTTTTTATATATTTCTTTTTGTCTATTGTATCCATTTTATTGGTAGGATAGAATGTCATAATGATGTGCTCTTGTGTTGCAGTTAAAACGTCTGAGAGAAGCAGAAAGTCAGTATAAGCCTATTCTAGACAAAAACAAGCGTCTCAGTCGCAAAAATGAAGAAATGTCCCATTCCTTGCGGCGTATGGAAAACAAGTTAAAGTTTCTAACCCAGGAGAACATAGAAATGGTGAGAGCTGTTTCAATACTATCAGCATCTGTCATGGCTGCTCCTTTTAACAATTCTAGCTCCCTGGCTCTCATACTGATTCTATGGCTTCAATACTTCAATCAGAACAAGTATAGAGATAGGAAGTCTGCTGTGTCTCTGACTTTCATTTTTAGCATGCTTTTTCCGGGTGCCACTGAATTTTTAACTCCATATAAAAGCAGGCAACTAGAATTTTTATAAAAAGACCTGTAGTAACAGCCTCCATATTTCTTACTATTTTCTTACATAATTTATGTTACACAATGCAGTAAGTAAGGTGCAATTTTTCAGATGGATGGACAAATGCACTATGTATTAATTAATATTAATGTTCATTTTAATTTAAATTTGCAATCAGGTAGGCTTTTATTGCACTAGAGACATATTATGTTTCTTCTGCAGTAAAGGATTCTTACCTGTCTTTTCACAATCCTTTAAACAATGTACACTGAGCTGTGCATGTGGAGATCAATGTGCGATGTGCAACATCTGTTAATCAAGATGGCTGAACATCTCATATTCGCAAAAATGACATGGTAAAGATGTTAGCACCGGCAAATCTCAATTTTTCCTTCAAAACTCAACACTGGCCCCCGCTCATGTTCTGAGCCTCCCTATCGGTTCTTTAATGTAATGGGCGATCTGACAGACTCTTGTTAATACTTGACAGGGAATCCTTGATTTTTACAGAAAAATATTAGACTGACGTACAAGTTCAGCTACCCATATTTCCAGATGTGTTGGTTGGTCTGACATGGTTTTCAATGAAGATGAAAACTGCCTACTTATTTGTATATCATATTCTCAGTTGGAAATGCCTTTTTGTTTGTGACAGATCTTTCTTAAGCACCAGCTTTTTAAAAACTTGTTTTGAACATTTTCAAAATGTGGTGTTTCAGAGACAAAAAGTTGGGAGAGATAAAAGAAGACCAAGTTCTCTGAATGACCTAGACCAAAGTCGAGAAGAAAGTGAGATCGATTTTCTGAGACTGCAGATCAATGAACAACAAATATTTATTGATGAACTTTCTAAAGTAAGACATGTTTCATTTTACTCCTCTATATGCATGACTTATAGCTAGCCTGTCTAAGGCCCCATTCACACCTGTACATTTAATGTGCGTCTCCTCTCCATTCAACCTCTGCCCAGTACTTCTGGGTATGAGGGAGCATGTAACTTACTCCCAGACAGCAAAGTTGCTTGGTGATTGGCTGTTCAGGCCTCCAGCATTTCACATGGTGACAGGGAGTGAGTGCTCAGCCACGTGTGATCTCCAAATCATGCTAGAGAGCTTGCACAAGGGTTTTCCTATTCATTCCTGATAGCTACAATGAGGAGCAGGGAAGCTAAGGATAAAGTGAGTATAGGTGCTGCTGGTGGAGCCAGCATTGAAGCGGTTGCTTTGCCCTGCAGGAACAAGCACAGGTTCTCTTTAATTGTGAGACATAGAATTTTATGGGCTGTGTCATTCAAGTGATCTTCTTGCAACTTCAAAATTAGTTTCCTTAGCATTTATGTTTCCTGAAAAGCTTTAAAGCCTAAATTTATGTGAGCAACAATATATATAGATATCATATATACATTCACTGGCCACTTTATTAGGTACACCTGTTCAGCTGCATGGTAACATAAATTGCTAATCAGCATGAAAATTCCAGTAGATCAGCAGTTTTTGAAATACTCAGACCAGTCCGTCTGGCACAAACAACCATGCCACAGTCAAAGTAATTTAAATCCTCTTTCTTCCCCATTCTGATGCTCGGTTTGAACTTCAGCATGTCATCTTCACCACGTCTAGATGCCTAAATGCATTGCGTTGCTGTCATGTGATTGGCTAATTAGCAATTTGTGTTACCAAGCAATTGCACCTAATAAAGTGGCGGTGAGTGTATCATAAAGTAATCGAACAATAAAGTGCTCAAATCACTGGTTATGAAAAGCATATAAACAAATACATGAAAAAAAAGCTATAAAATATATGTAAAAATAATATCCACTGTGCTTAAAATGAAAAAAAATATTTTTAAAACAAAGCATAAGAGTCCAGTGCATTCAGTTCCAAGAAACTTTGTCCACTTCTGTGTCTTCTTTCCACTTCAGTCTAGGTTCACACTGATGCAGTGCAGGGAACCGCATGGGATATGAACAGGAATTGCACTGCATTCCTGTTAAAATCACATGTGATTCTTTGCAGTGCGATTTCAGTCAATTCATTTTGTATGGTTCAAATTGCAGTACACCTGCATGAAAAGGGTTCATGTGCCTTTTTTCACCATACTGGAATTGAATCTCATGGGTTTTCATACCCATGCGATTCAATTCAGCCAATTGCACTACTATGTGTTCATACCCATGCGTTTCCATTCAGCTATTTGCCCTGCCTTTTGCGAACCTTTTATTTTTTGAGTGTCGTTAACTTAACATTGACACCCGCAGCAGTTCGCATGAATGGAATGTGATTGTGCTGTGGTGTGGGAAACGCTCAGGAATGCTGTGAATCCGACACCGCATCAGTGGGAACCTAGACTTTAACCTATATTACCAATGGTGCCTTCAATGACTACCTCCAATCACCCCAATCCAGTGTAATTCACCAGACAGGCAAAAGTGCTTTAGAACGGCATCCAGACCAGTGTTGCTTCTCCTCAAAAATCACCTCTCCTTCTGAACTCCGCTTTCAGTGTGATGATAGGCTCATGACATGTAATAGTGTAATACAATCCAAAACGTTAAATTTTATTCCATATAAAAGGAGGCTCACCAGACAAATTCTTGAAACTTAGCATATCACATATGACATCATTCATATGGCCGCTGTATGTACAGTGAATCAGTAAACTCAGAAAGCCGCTGGGATCTCAACACTATACTCGGCCACTACTCTGACATCACTTCCGGTCACGTCACGTCCGCTGCTTCACTTCCTGTTTACACCCATCCACATCCTAATATGTTTCGTCCTTACTGACTTCTTTCTTCTTTCTTGGAAGACGTTGATAAAGACAAAACATATTGGAATGTGGATGGGCTTAATCGGGAAGTTTAAAATGGAAAGAAGACACAGAAGTGGACTTTGTGTTTATTAAATTACTTCAAAGTTTCTTGGGACTGAAAGCCTACGTTTAGCTTAAATATTTTTTTAACTCAGTACAAGGGACAGTACTTACTGTACAATGAAAGAGTCTCCTGTGTTGATGGCTGCTATGTTCATTGAAATCTTATTTCTTCTTCTCCTTATCATACCCCCATAACTGAGATGTTTTAGAGCTGTGGGGGGTTAATACAAGCTGCTGGACATTCAATTGTCAAAATTGCTGACTATGCCCTTCCATTCATAAAAGCTGTACTATCATATTTATGAATGAAGGAGATGAACCTTTCATTCATCCGCCCATTCTCCATTGGTAAAGTGCTTTTCATTGCGGGAAGCGATAGTACGGCTTTTACGATTGGGTCCGGGTCCAGAAAGGGTGGGCATGGTTGGCATATTTGATGGTTGCCTGAGACAAGTCCAACTGCTTGTACTAACCCCCCTGCAACACCAGAAAACCACAGCTGCAGGGGTTTAGCGGGGTGGGGCAGAGGAATAAAGATTTCAACAAACATAGCAGCCACCAGCACACTTTCATTCATTGTAAATACCATCCTTGCTGCTGATTTAAAGAAAAAAATATTTCACCAAACTTCAGTTTTAATTGCAATCAATGAAAGGTCTGTGTTGCAATGATTTCACTGATCTGTACTGAGTGTTGAGGGCTCTTGCTAATGCTTACTGCTCTCTGAAAAGTGATCCATCTGCTTTTTTAACTTTTTTCAAATGGCAGTTTACATTGTGGGACCATGCCCAGCATTTGGCTCGCAATGACGGTGCAGCCCTATTATTCTCAATGGGCAAGTTTGACAGGCGGTGCCACCTGTCCAACCCTGCAGCCTCAGTTAAAATTGCCATGAAGCAAAGCATCTAGACCGTGGCATATGTACAGCCCTATTAGTCTATAATGCTAGAATCCCAGTGGTTGGCCGAGGAGGCAGTAAAATCAGGTCAGCCACCTATTTTTATTACCTCCAATGGCCACCAGTGTGAAACAGCCTATAGACTCTCTACCTTGAAATCATCAGCTTTAGCAGCGACATCTGTTAGTTGATGTATCTGACCATGACTCAACAACAACTTGTAGCTGCATTGTGAAGTTTTTAGTCCATTTCAAATCACAGAAGAAAGATTCATATCATAGTATGACATAGGGCTAAATATGACCTCTGGAGCAGATGGAGCAGCAGATAATGTTGATAAGAACATTGGAGTAACTATGAAGCCAGTGTTCTTCTATAGCTTTTCTGGGTAGTGTCTCAGGGTCTTTTCTAACAAACTGGAAAAAGTTTAGTCAGAAAATTGAGCTTATAGAACAATAGCCAGGAAATATAAGCTACTGTCAGGAGTTGGTCCTTCTTTCCAGCGGTGTGTTTTGATAATATTTTCTTTCCTTCTGGTGAGATGTGAGAACATTGCATTGCCAAACTAATCATGACCTCCCGGTCTTGGGCAATCCTCACTTGCCTGCCACATGCTGTGAAAAGGATTTTTTTCCATTTTATGATATAGAAAATGGAGATGACTTAAATCTTTAATACGTAATACCTCTACAAGCAGTAATAAACACTTCCCGTGCCTCTTTGTGCCTTTTTGGTATTGCTTCTCAAAATGATCGTAAACTTTGCCAAGATTAATTGAATCACTTGAATATGCTACATTTTATATGGACAACCTTACCAGACCTACAGCCACAGAGTAACCTTTAATCCCTGGTCCATTATAGGTTTCCATTATTAAAATATATATCCCTACAAGTGCCTTAATGTTCTTAGCTGTTCTTCACTGGTATCAGAATAGTTTAGCAGTCAGTGGATGTGTCCTCATCTACACAATATAATGTGCTTATACACTGTACATGGAAGCCAGCTGATGCTTGTAGATAAAGATATTTCATTTTGGTTTTATCAGATTTATATTGTCTTTCTAGACACTGGAAACCGCAGGATATGTGAAGAGTGTCATTGTAAGTATTCATGGCAGAAAGCATTGTCATTATCGTTGCATCATCTAGAATTTTTTTAATAGCGTTACAGTTGTATTGGGGGGATTCTTGTACTGACTTCTGTAGCTGAAGGCACTATGGAGTAATTCAGCTTCTAAGTTCACAGCAGAAATATCTAAGGTGTTTAAAGCTAAATCATGTAGCCATTAAATATAAGCATTTTGTATCTCTGCTTCTGTGTAGTAAGATAAAGTAAAGTTAAATGCTTATTTAGTCTAGGAGGTAGGGAATATGCAGAAATATTTTTATTCCTTGCTACCACAGAAGTTCTTTCTGACAGGTCCCACAAAAGCCACTCCTCTGCACTGGTCATGTAGATGCACCCTAGACAACATCATCATCATGTACAATGCAGTAGCAGCTGTACTCTCTTTCATTGTACATAATGATGTTGAGGGCACACCCATATCTCAGGAATGGAGGAGAGCGCAAGCTGTCAGGGGAATAGAGCTAGATTAAGACCTTGGGAGGTCCAGGACATTTCAGGTTGATTTACATTCTCAATGACAGTCACACATGTTTAAAATGCATCACATAACCTAATTCCGGGGTCACGCATGCACATGCAGTCATAGTCAACCTTCTTCAAAGCAGAGCTCCAGGCTCCCCCCAAACAATGAAATGTCAGCACATACAAATACTGTAGCTGCTGACTTTCAATATAAGGACACTTACCAGTGATGTCCTCACCCAAGCCGATAATTTCATTGGCTTCAGGTGCAGGTGCCTGCATTTTCAGTAAGGGAAACCAGAAGTGAATCCTTGTGGTGTCCCTACTGTACATGTGCGAAGCACACTGTGCTTTGTCAATGGTCACACAGTCTTCTGGGATCTGTGAAGTGTCCCAGAAGGCTGTAGGGGAAGGAGGGGGGCTGAACATCTGGCTCAGATCGCCTCGGCACATCTGGCCAGAAGTGGAAACGGGTAGGGACCTGTTAAAAACAGGTACCCAATCCCCCTCCCCCCCCAAAAAAAAAAGTGCTAAATGTGGTAGTGGAAGGGGGAGGAGACAAACAAGTGGAACTTCCCGTTTTGGGTGAAGTTCCATTTCAATAGTGTAAGTGTTCTATGTGTGATTTGCTTGAGCTGTTTGTTTTTAAAAAATGATACAATATACCAGTCCAGAGTAAAAACTTTTACAGATCATGTAAAATATTACTTCCCAAGATACATTTAAAATTAAAAAGTAATTTTTTTATTATGATATATTTTATAGTATCGTATTATCATTTATTTTTTATTATTATTTTATATCATCTTTTTATATTGTTTTATGTTATTTTTGCATGGGGGCCCTTCTGTCAGGGAGCCCAGGACAGTTTCTCCTTTTGTCCCCTTATCAATGCAGCACTGCAGGTGAATGAGGGATATGGTAAGTATTCCTCTACTTCTTATCCCCTTAGACTAAACAATAATTCTACCCTTCCTACCTGAAGGGGCATCCACAAAATTCTTATGTCTAAGTCAGTCTCTCGACAGCTCAGCTCACCCTTTCCCATTCACTTTAGTAATTGGCAGCCTTCTAATCCCTAAACAGAGCAGGATCTCTGGGACTGGTGAGCAGGGGGAACTCAGATGCTAGCAGATAGTCTTGCCCCAAATAATCCATAGTGGCTCACAATTGATGCCCATCATCCTCCCAGCCTGCCTGGGTTGTTGGTCTGTTCTGCAACACTGTGGATTGAAGCTTCTCCCTGAAGAGAACAGGTCCTTGAACCATGAGTCTGGACAGCAAGAGTCTCTAACAGAAGGCCTCTGGTGAGGCCTTTGTGCAAAGGTATCAATTAGCTCCTGGGGGATCCGAAAGGAACATTTTTCACTCTCTGGAGCAAATTGGATCATGCTTTATTTTTTTTTGTTTTCCTCTCAGGGGCAGACTGACAACTCATGAGGCCCCTGGGCAATAGGGGATCATGGGGCCCCTGTGTCCTTGCCCAAAGTCAAAAAAGCCTATAAAAAAAGGTACCAGGGGCATCTCATGGGGCCCCCTACTGACCCTGGGCCCTCGAGCAGTGCCCGAGTTTCCAAATGGTCAGTCCAACCCTGCTTCCTCTGTATTAACTGTGGGTATAAGATCATGATTATGGTTTTTCATTTGTTTTGTTTCTATTGGTTGAATTAGGTGTTTTCCAGCCTAACTACTGTATGTAACTATGGGGTTTATTTACTAAAGCTGGTTCCCTCAGAATCCCATGCACTTCTGCATTGAAACCAATCAGCTTACATGTTTTATTGCTAAAGCTTAACTGAACAAGCTGAGGTTAGAAGCTGATTGGCTACCATGCACAGGTGCACCAGATTCTGAGTGAACCAGCTTTAGTAAATCCCCCTCTATGAAATTGAGTGCTTCTGCTGTGAAATTTAAAGCCTAATTCTGCCAAAATGTCTGCAGCTACAGAGGTCAGTAAGGGCTTGCTGTAAAGCTGATCTGTAAAGTTGTAAAGCTCATTTACTTCTTTTGATATATGTAAATAAATGAATGTCCATAGCAAATGAACCTGGCCACAGGTTCATTTTAAATACAAACTATGGATTATGTGCTTTTATGACAATACTTTAGTTACAACTGTAACTTAAAGCGGAACTCTACCCAAAATGGGAAGCTCTGCTTGCCTGCCTCCTCCCCCTTCCTGTGCCACATTTGGCACCCTTTGGGGGGAGGGGGGAGCGGATACCTGATTTTGACAGTTACCCACTCCAACTTGAGGCTCACTGACCCAGAAGTTCAGCCCCCCTTTTTTCCCCTGCAGCCTTCTGGGACACTTCACAGGTGGCTGCGGGCCATTCACAAAGCGCAACGTGCTTTGCGCAGTAGGAAACCGGCTGTGAAGCCACAAGGCTTTACTGCCTATTTCCCTTACCAAGATGGACCAGCACCCGATGGCCGACTGAAGAATCGGCTTGGGTGAGGACATTGCTGGATGCCTGGAAAGGTAAGTGCCTTAATATTAAAAGTCAGCAGCTACAGTATTTGTTGCTGCTGACTTTTAATTTTTTTTTGGGTGGGGGAGGAATTCCTCTTTAAGCTGGGACAAATCTCCCTTTGCAACACTGCCAATTGTCACAATGCCCAAACAGTGCTTTTTTGATTGTTTGATCAATAGTTTTCCTGCCAACTCCTTTAATTTTTTTAATTGAAGGATGTCAGGCGGAGTGGTGTCAACACAGTAACCAATTGATCCAGTTTCATCTGGTTCATTAGAAACCAGCTGAAATTTGCACAGTGTATGACCAGCTTTAGATCTTTCATAATAGAGATGTAATCTACTTGCCAAGGTTTTTGGTTTACATCTGAACAAGACTGTAGTGCACCAGGCCTTGCTCCTGCTTAAATCCCACTTAGGCCTTGTGTCTTGTATCCTGACAAACTAACTGACCATCGAAGGATGTGCAGGTCACGTGTCCTCATCCACACCCACTGTAGTCTTCCTGTTGCCCCTTAGACAAGGAGAGAAGGTGAGCTGGATCTTTGGGCAAGGAGCTATGGTTCTACCACAAATGTGTGTGAAATGGATTTGATAATACCCACATCATTTATAATGTTTCCTAAACAGTATTAGAAGCAAGATGCAGAATAAAGAGCTTCCAGCTTCCCCTCTTTGATGCATAATGGGCATTGCGCCATGTGCCAGTCGTAAATTCACTGACTTTCCATAGAGAACAGGAGCTTTCCTTAGTTACTTCCTGAGCGGAATTTAGTTTTGGCATCCTTGTGCTTGGTCCTATTAAACAGCATGTCAGATGCTTCGTCAATGACAGTTTTAAAGTTACATTGCCCTTTTACACGCACAGCATACAAGATGTTCCCAGCCCTTTCCTAAGCAAACGGAGTCTTCCATCACCTCCACGGTCTGTCTGATTATACTGGGGACTAGGTATTGTGTAAAAGCAAAAAGTTATTAAACTGGTTGACTCAATAGAAGCCTACTAGCCATATTTTTTTCATGTCTTTACATCACTCAGCATGGCTCATATTTTAACTTTCTTATGCCAGATGCAAACTGGAAAATTTCTCTTCACTGTGCAATTAATTTATATGTGCAGGACCGAGAAAAGCTTTTAAGATTCCGGAAGCAGCGGAAAAAGATGACAAAACTCCCCAAGGTAAAAGCATTTTCCATTTTTATTCTGAGTTTTATGATCAGAACTAATCATAGAAAACAAATCTTCCTGTCTTGGAAACGGCTGTTACTGGTTAGCAGATGCAATGGAGCACAAATATAGCAATTTGTTCCTCCATAGAGCTTTATTAGCCTTGTGCACAAATGTCACTTATAAATTACATACATCATCTTATTATCTAATTGCTGTTTGCCATTTAAAGTTTAATGCATTATAAACCTTCCTACCTGCACCTTGTGGTTTTTCATCTGCATAAGATGTGCATTGATCCTGTAGTTTCATGATGGCATTTGTTGGCCTGTATGCACAGTTTCTGTTTGCATCTAAACATGAGGCATGCAGCATAGCTCTGCACAGGTTGATGAATGACCTCTGTTTGTAGCCTGAGAATTGACACTTCCCATGAAGAAACTACATATCCCACAATCCCTGGGTCTCTCAGTTTACTGCACTGCAGGTGAAAGCTAAATAGTAATTCGATCTGACACGGACACAAGTAGGCAGAACAGTTAACATACAGATCACCGTACAATCTTTCATCACATTAGCAATCCCACATTTGTGATGCAACACAGAGGAAATTGTAAGGCATGGACTGGACACTGACACTGTGTGACCTGGAACAAAAAGTTGCCTTTTCCTTTAGCGAATAGGGTCAAGCTGAATGAATACATGGAAATTGATCAGACATGACACTACAAACTGCAGCCACATCATATGAGCCCATAATTACTAGGTAGGGCAAACAGACAACACAGGGTATATAATGAGGGGCTCAGCTTCAAGTGGAGCTTGCAGAGAGGTCAACCAAGAAGTGTGTAAGGTTAAGGGCTTCCTACTCACATTTATTCAAAGGCAAAAATAAAGCAAAAGTCCAACATAAGACCGATTGCCCATGCAGGGGTAAAGATCAGAGTCCAAAACATAGGTTCAGCAAACCGCTGTTAAGCATCCTGGCTAGTAAATAGACCTCGTAGGGGTTGGCTTCAGTCCTGTCCTGCAGACATGTTGCCCTCGCAGCCTGCTTGTCTTCTTTGGCCCTTTTCACATGGGTGTTCTGTATGTCTGTTTTACAGATGAAAAACGGACACCCATGTATTTCTATGCACTAGCGGATGTAAATGGAGGATAATCTGTTTACATCCGTTAATGTCTGCATCCGTTAAAATCAGTTTTTTTGAATGGAACAAAACCCTGTTTTTCTTCCATTAAAAAAAAATGGAACGGATGAAAAAATGGATGTAAATGGACAAAAAACTGATGTAAACAGATGATAACAGGTTTAAACGGATGGCAACGGATGAAATACGGATGTAAACGAATGAAAAAAACGGATGAAAAATGAATGTAAACTGTTGAAAAATGGATGAAAAAACTGATGTGAATTGATCTGTTTTTTCTTGGAAAAAACGTGAGTGAACTGATGATAAAAACAGAACGCCTGTGTGAAAGGGGCCTTTCTCTGCATCATTAACGAATTAACCCAGGGAAGGACGAATTTTACCACAGGTGAGGAGCAAGGTGTGCTCAGGGTTTAATCCCCTGCCTCCTGCTCCAAGCTTCTCACTGCCATCTATTTACCTTATGAATCACAAAATCCTATGCGGCAGATACATCCCATCCACAACTGACAGGAGCTGTTTCCCATACGGAAGAAAAATATATATGAAATATATTTTTTAAATATTCTTCCCAAATATATTTCCATATATTTGAAATACTACAATTTTGGCCATATTCAATATATTTATAAAATATATATATATATATATATATATATACTGTATATATATATACTCATGTTGAAATGCATTTTTATTACAAAATATATGAAAAATATTTTAAAAAATACATTTAAAATATACGGTATGTCTTTAAAAATACAAATCTACATCTTTGAAATGCCTTTACAAATATATGTAAAAATATATGTTAAAATAACTTTTGTATATGTTATAAAAATCTGCAGAATATATTTTAAAAAATAAATTTCTTTTAAATATATTCTTCAGATTTTTTTTTTTTGGGATGATTTACCCTCTATTACTGTTCTGGTGTCAACCCAAAATTTGGGATTTTCTTCTACTTTCACTTTCAATGAAAACAGTAAACAGGACAATCAGAGAGGGTGAATCTCCCTAATGGGGACACAGACAGCAATTAAAATGGCAGGTGTTCTAATCCCTCTCCACTATCCAAAACTAAAAAAAAAGTTTTGCCTTTAGTGAAACTTTATCTATCTGTTGTTACCCCTTTAAACAACTCTTAGTTGTGGTGTATTTTTGGCCCCACGCACAGCAGCTGCAGATTCGATTGGCTCACTGATTTTCCCAGAAGTCTGCACTAAGATACATGACAGATTTTAGGCACCTCCTGCAATAGGAATTTTATTTTTGGTAAGATACTCCCTAAGAGTTAATTACTTTTAAGAACACTGAAAGTACAACGGGTGATTAAAATGAACCAGGTGTTCCCATTCAGAATCAGTCTGCGTTGGTCACGGTCGAACAAACAACTATTTCTTCAGAGTAGAAACAGGTGGGAAGCTGCAACAAAGTTGGTAAAATCTCTGCAATGTACATTTATCATACAGAGGGGATTGTTTTCTTTTCTCAACAAAAGTGGAGTTACTCAATGAAGAGGAAGAGGGAATCTCTCCACTATTCTCTCTGCCATTCGGAGTACTCTTGTTTTGCACAGTGCAATCAGTCACACTTGTCGCATTTGTACAGGGGGGTGAGCAGGGAGGTGATATCATCAGTGTGCTGTTGTTCCTTCATTCTCCAATAACATGCCAAGGGGGATCCACACTGTATTGTGTAATTGCTAAATAGTCTACTAAGAGGCCCAGCACCTGCCTGAAAGCTGAACAGAATAAAAAATGATTTGGCAGGCATAACAGTGCATATATAGATATCTCAGTTGGGTATTTAGCTGCTTAACTGGAGTTCAGATTTAAATTATATGAACTAATATTCTTTTCATTTGTATATTTTCTTTATTAGCCAGTTGTGGAAACATTCTATGGTTATGATGATGAGGCCTCGCTGGATTCTGATGGTTCTTCGATATCCTACCAGACCGATCGAACAGACCGTACCCCCTGCACGCCAGACGAAGACGTGGAAGAGGTGACACATCTTCATTCATTGTTCCAGCTATAGGATATGAGCCTGCACATCCAATTTGATGCTACCTATTTGTAATCTGGTATTTGAGTCCAGTAAAATTATCAGCTTGGTTTGGTAGTGATGAATTGATCTGAAGATGGACATCCTAATACTCATGTTAAATTAGAGACGTCAGTACGTATCCTTAAAGGGTCCTTAAAAGGTCTGAAGTAACATAATTATATACTGACAAGAATTTTTATACCACTGATATATGAAATTGTAGAAGTTCATGGGTATTAAAATAATATATTTTAAATGAAGGTGGTTATTTTCCAACATATAGTTAAACTCCTCTCCATGAATTCTATGAAGCTATAGTCATTATTGTGCCTACAAAGTAAAAAACTACACAGCAAAGAAAAACTAAAAAAAAAAAAAATAGAATTGTATTTGATAGTCTTAACGCCCAACTGCAGTAAAAGTAAAAGTCTTTGTTTGCTGGGGGGGGGGGGCTGTGTCCACACTGCAAGGGTTAACTGTTCATTTCTGTCTAGGGGATGGGAAATGCACTTTTACTTACCCGTTCCTTCACTCCCCCCTGTAGTATGTTAAAGTGCTTTTACTAAACATGAATGTTGAATTTACAAACTACTTACAGTTCTGGAAAAACAATACAGGCCATACAGAGGGGGAGATTTACTAAAACTGGTGCGCACGGAATCTGGTGCAGCTGTACATAGTAACCAATCAGATTCTAGTTTCAACTTCTGCTGCTGGTCATGTATTTAGAAAGTTTGGATAGCCACATACACAACGATCACGTGGGGTTTCTTCCACATAGACAGGCAGCAGATCAGGTAAGGCAGGCAATAGATCTCATTTCCCTATTACAGTCTTCTTGGGATGGAGATTTGGCCAGAAATGGGATGCTCTTGTTGCTTGACATCTGCAAGGCATTCAGCTCACTCTGATGGCCCTACTTCTTTTGGATGCTGGAAAAATGGAACTTTGGCCCTGAATTTTTGACCTCGCTTTACTCTCTGTATAGCATGCCCACAGCTCAGGTAACCTTGTGGGGCCATAGATTGGACCCAATCTTCATTTACATTGGCACTCGACAGGAGTGCCCCTTGTCACCACTATTGTTCATCATTGCTATAGAAACTTTGGCAATAGCTATCCATCAAGACCTTGATATTTTGAGGAGAGAGAGTGGGGGTCGGAGCCATAAGTGCGCATTATTCACAGATGATTTATTGTTATTTATCACTTCCCCTCGCATTACTTTGCTGAACCTTTTCTCCCTTCTAGATCGCTTGGGGAAAATTTTAGTCAACCTTAATAAGTCAGAGGCGATGAATGTACATTTGACACTCGATTTTATGAAGTCTCTGGGCTCAGTATCCCTTTCAATGGCAACAAGCCTCACTCTCTTATTTGGGTATTAGATTGACCCCCTAATATTTCATCCTTTTATAAGGCAAACTACCCAGCTTTGTTCAATAAACTATTGGAGGAAGTGAGGACATGGTCTGATGTTAATTTGTCATGGATGGAGAGAATAGAGATGCCAAAGTTGACAGGCTTACCCAGGCTGCTATACTATTTCAGAATGCTACCCATTCCTGCTCCTCTAGATGCAACTCTGTTTCAATCAAACATTTTTCATTTCATCTGGGGCGTTAAGGACAACAGATTAGCCCGCCCCACGGTGTACGCTCCTAAAGATCTAATTGGACTGGCGGTCCACCTGTTTAGAAAATATTCTGTGGAAATGCAACTTAAGCAATTATGCTAACTTCCTCACAGCAGGTATAGGCCAGACTGGGTGTCCCTTGAGGCCCAAGCATGCTCCTCATTCCTGATGGATCTGATGCTATAGATCCCTCTGAAACATGACAAAGCTATATTGTGCGCACCATGTTTGAAAATAGATGTATGCAAGAGACTCAACTGCAAGGATGCATTTCTGTGCTGTATAAACTGTTCACCACCCCTTTGGCTAAACTCTCCTACCAGATGGCATAGTTGAGAGATGTGGGCATGGTTCCTGAGTTGGAGGACTGGCGGTCTTGGAACCCACGCTTATACAAAGGCATTCTAAATGTTGCATCATTCATCGAAGCAGGGTATAAAGTTTATGCCAGGTGGTTATTAGTACAAGATCTCCTCTCAAAGATGTACCTGTGCTCGTCGGCCTCCTACTTCAGAGGTTGTGGTTAGACGGGCACAGTTTTACACATTTGGTGGATTTGCCATAAAGTCCGATGATTTTGGATGAGGATTCATTCTTTCATATATTCAGTTACGATGGTAACATAACTAAAAATGCCTGTATTGCCTTGTTTAGCAAACCATTTGAAAACCATTTGAAAATATCCCGAGACACACACAAACTTTAATCTACTTTATGTTTCTAGTGGCTAAAATTGCTGTAGTCACTGCTTGGAAAAGTCAGAACATTGATCTAGCTCTGATGAACCGTAAGCTCACTTGTATTATGCTTAATTAAAAGATTCAGAGTGTCTTGCAAGATAAACAAACCATTTTTCAAAAGATCTGGGCCCTATGGCTTTTTTTACCTACAGGTCCCAGGCACACAGGGCTGACTACTGCATTGGTGAGAATTCAACTCCCAGTCAGACTTACTTTCTTTTCATATCTTATTTCTTTCTCCTTTTTCTTTTCCTTTTTGTTTTTTTCCATGTTCCACCCATCTTTCTTTACTTCTTTATTTTATGTTTTATGACAACCTTGACTTAGTCGAGGAGCTAATTGTTCTGATAGGTGATTAAGATGTCTACAGGATATAGGTTTTGGTACTTCATAAAAGATATCAACCGCTTTAACATTTTGAAGTTAACCTTTTTGATGCTCAGTGTGGATGGCGCTCTGGGCGCTATGGGTTCCCACTATTTTTACAGTCGGATCTATTCTATATAATATATATAAATATGTGTATAATAACCCAGGTGGACCTGCTGCACCATTGGACTGGGGGGAGCTGACCAAGTTCCCGTTACTCAGTCTCCTAAATGCTATTTTGTTACATTTATCTATAAGTTGCTGTTCCATTGCAGTGTTGGGACTGTTTGCTTTTATAACTTTGGACTTATGCTCATTGACACATTTATTTCCCATGTACTTTGTTCCCTTCTGGGATCGGACTGGGCTTCATGAGCAGTCCAATCAGGACTTTATAATTTATATGTGTACAATTAACACTGCATGAGCAGTGCTGTCTATGTCATTTGCTCAGTTGTTATGCTTTGTTTTTTTTACTTGGAAAGAAAATTCAAATAAAAACTATGGAAACAGAAAGTTTGGGAAGCCATTCCCACATGGGTGTATACCTTTCTATGTCTTCCTTTCTACATCAGTTTCAGTGAGAGAAGCGTATTTTAACTTCAAACTCTAGATGAGGGGTGTCAAACTCCATTTCATTGAGGGTGGCATCAGCATTATGGTTGCCTTCAAAGGGACGGTTTTATCTGTAAGACTATATAAATGTATCTACTCTTGATTTTTAAAATTTTTGCCTCTGCATTTCGATTATTACTTGACTTACTAATAACTTAAGGCTTCAGCTGTGAAGGGCAGGTGCAGACTGGTACAGAGCCAGGGGCGGACTGACCATTTGGAAACTCGGGCACTGCCCAAGGGCCCGGGGTCAGTAGGGGGCCCCATGAGATGCCCCTTGTACCTTTTTCATAGGCTTTTTTGAGTTTGGGCAAGGATACAGGGGCCCCATGATCCCCTATTGCCCGGGGCCCTATGAGTTGTCAGTCCACCCCTGTACAGGGCCCACTCACACTCCTATAGCAGATGATTCAAATCTGTAAAGGAGATTTGCACACTGTTGTTATCATCCACAAGAAACTTTAATCGGGACTGTTCAGACAGAACATGGTTCTGCCATGGTGTTCTGTTCGAGCAGTCTTCAATAAAGTTACCTGTGGATGATACCAGCAGTGTGCAACTCTCCTTTTCAACTGGCATATAATTGCATTATTCTCATAATAATTATATTCCGATGTCCCGAGCACCCCACCCCCCTTACATTACATGTAAAGAGCCTTCCCCACCATCAGAAGATGAGTCGCCAACCCCCCCCTTACATCACAGTGCGCCACCCCTACTGTGTGTTACTGCCGGGAAGAAGCTGGGGGGGAGCTGCAAGAGAGGTGCGAGAGCCACATTAAATGGCCTGGAGGGGCCAGATTCGGCCTGTGGGCTCTGTGTTTGACACAAGTGCTCTAGATGTGTCATGGGTCAAATATGTCAAAATGTCAGACTATTTTTAATCCTTACTTTTTTTTTTTCAAATAGATTTTTATTAAGATTTTAAGACATTACAGTGAAAAAGGCCTAACATTAGACCTTAAAGAGTAAGAGTAAACATTAACATGGTCCATATGTCATATGAAGAAGCTTTGTTACAGAAGAAATAACAAAAACAAATCAAACAGTACAATCAGTGGGATCAATTAGATCGACAAATACAGTACAGTAAGTTAAGCAGAACTATCAGTCCAAGTTAACCAGGGCTTCCAATGTTGTAAAAATCTAGAAAACCTAATATTTCTTATAGCCAAAACCCGTTCATACTCAGTTTCATTTTAAAATCTGTATAGACTCAGAGGGATTGGGCGCTTGTGGGTTTTTCCAATTCCTAGTTATGGTGGATCTAGAAGCTTGTAAGATATGAGATATAACTACTTGGGAGAAGTTCAGAATATCGGAGATTCCTAAGTTTAACAGAGCGAAAGCATGATTAGGTTTTATGATTAACCCCATAACTTCCGAGATGATTTGAAAAATCTTTTTCCAGAAACTAGTGAGACTTTTGCAATACCAAAGAATGTGTGGAAGTGTACTTACTGCCCCACAAGCTCTCCAACAGAGGGGAGATTGAAGTGAACTAAATTTGGAAAGTCGATAGGGAGTATAGTACCAGCATGTATTTATTTTCAGGGACATTTCCCAGTGATTTATGCAGCTAGATGTTTTATTTTAATCCTTATTGACATAGCTTTGGGTCCAAAGTTTGAAAAAGCTCCTCTAAAACAATGGCAATAGTTAAGTGTGTACATTGCCCAAATATAAAACATTAGTATCTATGTCCTCAATTGTATTAGAAGACAGTAAACTAGTCATATGCGAACATAATTCCAATGGCATTTGTTTGAGAGATGTTCCCACCAGAAAACTGATGTTTACTCCAAAAACCAACAAAAGTGTTTATGTAAGTTTGAAAAATCACAGAGGCTATAACACATCCAGCAGACGGTGCTCCCCTATGCTCCAGTAATGGATTGTCCCTCAGGGTCCTCCCAACCAATGCAGGCACCCACCCGCAGGAATGAAGGATCAGGTAAATAAAACTGCTTTATGTGGACTTTTAGCTTTAAATATTCTCTACACAGGGCATGGCCAAAGAAGAGACAGAGCTGAGGTTCCGCCAGCTGACTATGGAGTACCAGGCCTTACAGCGGGCATATGCCCTTCTGCAGGAACAAGTGGGTGGAACCCTGGATGCAGAGCGGGAAGTCAAGGTGCTTATTTGTTTCATTTCTTTTTCCCCCTTTCCTAAATGTTTTTGCTACTTCACAAGCCATTGTCTTTGCAGAGATAACCTAAAGAAAAAAACTCAGGTAAATTTATAAAACAATAATAATAAACAAACATAGGGCGCACTGGCCTAGTGCATTATCCTTTAAAGGCTTTAATATATAAAAAGGTAAGTATTATACTCACAAAGTAAATAAAGGAACAAGTTCATCTCACCTACCAATAGTAGGCTCTGAGAAAGAGGATAAGTCCTCGAAACGCGTCAGCCTGTGGATGTTCCATCATTCTGTTACATCTTGATGTTTACATACTGTTTGTGCTGTACTCATGAGATGAACTTGTACATTTATTTACTTTGTGAGTTTAATACCTACCTTTTTATCTATTAAATCATTTAAAGGATAATGCACTAGGCCAGTGCGCACTGTTTGTTTATTATTATTGCAGTGCTTCTAGACTCCCCCAGTCTTGTGAAGGCAGCAGGGCGAGTGCACTCCATGAAGGCCAAGTTTTGACTGCAGCCCATTAATCCTTCTTGGTCCTACTCCCCAATCGCAGGAAGATTTAAGTTCTTCCAGTTCTTTGTCAAATTTATAAAACAATCAATTAGCTCACTTACAGTATATACAGTATTACAGTCATCTTTTAAAAATCTTTTTTGGTTCATGTTGTATATTTTTTGTTACTATTAGTAGTGTAATTAAGTGATAACTGTATTCACACTGAATTGTCACACTGAAACTTGAAATTTGTGATTCCTACAGACTCGAGAGCAACTACAATCTGACATTCATCATTACCAAACAAGAATAGAAGATCTTGAGAAAGCCATGTCTGAGCAGGGCCAGGTGAGATACATGCATGAGGCTTCTATGAATGAATGGGAACAGAATTGAGGTTAAAGCTTAACTCCAGGCAATCAGCTAAATACTCCACTGATAAACAGAATTTTGAGATCTGTTTTACCTATCAAGGTTGCATTTCTGTACATCCTGTCCTTAGATTTATACAGCTCTGCCACATAGCATGGCAAGTAGATTACACCAGTAAGAGTTAGGGAATACAGCAGTGTTCTCTCTCTTTACCCACAGCTTGCTGGTTGGACAGTAAAGGTTCATTCAAGCCCTGTTCATATGTAGTACTGTGACCTGCATTTTACCACACCAGATGAATGCAGGTCACCGCTAGGACACACAGAAAACAATTGTTTTCTATATGTCCTGTTCACACTGCAACCCCAGAGGTGTGGTGCAGTGAGTTGCAATAAAATGCAGACATGCTGCATTTTATCACAGCATACAGGAAGGGATTGCATGTCACTATACAGAAGAGCAACATTCCACTGTGGTGTACAATGACATGAATGAAGTGTTACTTTATGCACTTCAAATAAAGCTGAGCCAAAAAAAAGGGACTGTGTGATGCGCTGGAACATGGATCACACTGCCCCCTACTGCTGGAACACTGCAGTTGGAACGGAGAGCTGCCCAAACAATAAACTACTGTGATTTACCCATTTTTGCAAAGTAGATAGCCCTAGATATTTTTTAAGAGGCATTGTGAGTTTTTTTAACATTGTAAGTTTTGTAACAATTTTTTAGACATTTTGTTTTAATATACTGTCACCAGAGCAGTACAGCGTCAGTTTGACAGTGATCTGGAACACTGACTGGTGACAGTATGTAATACAATTTTTTTTTAAATTTAACAAAAAGGGTTTTTTTTTTATTTTTTTTGTACATACAGTGACCAGAGCAGTACAGTGTCAACATGATTTCTGTGATGATCACTGTTATAAGCAATAATTTTTATGAATGGCATCCATTCATGTGCCATTGTGTACAATTGTACTAGATGTGATTGACCACAGCTATCACATGGTACAGGGTTGCTGTGATTGGCCACAGCTATCACATGGTACAGGGTCACTGTGATTGCCCCTGTCTGATCACTGTGATCAATCACAGATATCACAATAGTACACAATGAATTGCTATAAATGAAAGCCATTGTGTACTATCGACATGTGATCGATGTCAATAGAAAAGACCTCTGTCCCACACTCATCACCCCTGTGTGTAAAATGCAGTAACCCACTGCAGCAAGTATATCAAAATACTGTGTGAATATAGCCATTGTACTTTGCTACAATCATTAGTCTCTTCACAGGAAGGGTAGTTGTTTTTTGGTGTTTTATTATGTGGGTATGTCAGTGTATAGTGGAGTTTGTTATTTTCAGATCCCCTTCATAAGGTATCAATGAACATTCTTTTTTTTCCCTGCTCATTTCTATTACTTTGCTCTTCAGGAGCCTTGTACAATTTTACATACATCAAATGCGGATGTCGTCCATGATCTTGATTGTCTGCTTGTTTTAATCTCATCATATATCTACAAAGACAATATGACCTAGGCATGTCTGAATTCCTGCATTGTCCTGGATACAATATCAGAGCAATTAGACTGAAAACATACCTGTGATCAAAGCTTTCCAAATGATTCCGCTGTGCTCAGTCTTTGTTTTGTAGAACAAACACTCTGACTTTGTACAGTCTCAAAGAAACTCAACAGCGATGAGAATATCAAAGGTTGGAAATTGTGGTGGATTGTGGTGGATAAAAATAACTGCAATAAAAAATGATCATAATACATAAGCTGTTAGAGGGAAATCAGTTTGGTGGTTTGCTTCCCAAGAGCAACCTGATAGAACAGAAACTTTCAAAAAAGCAGAAACTCTGTATTGTCTTTAACAAAATGCCTGTATGCACTGTATAGCCTTAGTACCTGACTGGTGGCCTAGTGGCCACATGTGGCCCTTTGGCACTTATTGTGCAGCTCTCAGAACCCTGGCAGTCAGATTTCTGTTTTGGTGCCTACTTAGGCCAGTTAAAAAATATTGTTTAGACTGGTTTCTAGTAGCTAAAGGCTAAGTTCACCTTTGGGGAATAAATAATAAATTCACCTATTTTTGCAGAATAAAAAACGTGTTTATTATTTTACACATGTCCCCAAGCATGACACCCACAATCACTGAATCATGGGGTACAATGTCAGGCTCCTTCAGACAAATCCTGCAGCTTTCTGCCCGTACCTCTGTATGGGCTGTCAGTTTGATAGCTGCAGTCTTGTGAATGAATTATGAGGGCATTCATCAGCATCCTCACAGTTCATTGAAAACTACAAGCTATCTGCAGCAGTGGCAAACAAGATTTGTAGTTTTCTTCATTCCCAGATTGCTGTAAATGACGTGGCTGTGCGGGTGGAGCCCTGCACAGCCTTGTTGATTCTGAAATGTAACAGCGGGTGCTGGGCAGAGGAACGCTGGCCAGCTGTCACAGGGGGAAGGATCAGGGGGTGAAGGGGGAGGTGCTGGAGTATGTTACATGTTACACTCTAAATACTGGTGTAACATGTAACATGCTCTAAAAGATGAACTTTATTGTTTTTACACCATTTTACTTTTTTTCTGTGCTGTCACGCCTTTTCACTTTTTTCATAGTTTAAACCTTTTTTTACAAAAGAAAAAAAAAACAGTTGCAGTAACTGTTCAAAAAATATGAGCTGGAGTTAGGCTTGTCCATCTAAAACTACATGTCCATCTAAGACAGGCATCACTAAATGGTGGACCATGGTCTGGATCCAGACCAAGTCACTGTCCCATCCAGACTGCAGGTAGTCTCCACTTAGGAGCTTAGGTTCTTTTTCCACCACTGTCATTTTTAGAGCAGAGCAGAAGACGTGAGACATAGAAGCATGGAGGCTGGATGGGAGCTGCCCAAGTTAACTTTTTAAGTTAACTGGCAGGTGATTGGTTGCTAGGACACAGAGCGGTGCTAGTAACCAATCACCAGCTTGTTAATATGAAAATTTAGCTCTAGTGGCTCCTGTTCCCGCCCTCCTTCCTGTGCTGCTCTGCCTCCCACCCTCCGCTCTGCTATGTGCTCCTGTAAGGTAAGTAAGTGAAGGAGGATACTGCTGTGGTGGGGGGGGGGGGGGGTGATGTGATGTGAAGGGAACAGAGGACACTACTGTTGGGGGGTGTTGATGTGAAGGGGGGCAGAGGACAATGTTGTGAATAAAGGGGGGTGTGATGTGAAGGGGGATTCAGAAGACTACTGTGAAGGGGATGGGGGTACTGTGAAGGGTAACTGTGATATAAAGTGAAGGTTTGTGATGTAAAGAGGGATAATGTGATATGCAGAGGCAACAGAGAACACTGATGAAAGAATGGAATTGATATATAAGAGGAGGGGCTGTGATGTGAAAGATCTGAGTCATCGCTCAAAAATGTAATTCGGACCACTTCTGGAAGAACATTTTTCTGACTGGACCTCTGTGAATTTTAATTCAATGTCCCCTGATCTAAGACAGCCATTCTCACCAGGGTTTCAAAGAACCTTATGCTTTCTGTAGAGGTTGCTGGGGGTTCCTTGAGCTTTGGCCTACTGACCTTCCATTTGATGGTATCTGCATAGTTCAAGGTCCAGCTCCACTTGGTATGACACCAATGATCTTTTTAGTTATCTGTAAGGGTGGCATTCTGAACAGCGATGTAATGTGAGGAGACTTGAAGATTATTTCAAGAGTTTCTCAGGGGTCAAAATGTGGGAAAAGGCTGATCTTAGACTATTTTGTCCACAAGGTGACAACATTGCCATGCAATTTCACTGTAGAACAAATAGTTTTGTCACTCTGTGCATATTTCCATTTAAAATAAAGCAATAAGGATATAAATACAGATGTTGCAGTCACTGCTACTTTTTTTTTTTTTTTTTTATTTAAAGGGATGGGCTTTATGGGTGTTCTCCAGATCCTGGCTTCACTACCCGTTGAGACTCTGGCCTGGAACATGCATGCGGAATGGAAGTTCAAAATGTCTTTAGACTTCTTTGGATGCATGTTGCTTATAGCTCAGTGATGCAATAGACAGTGAAGCCAGGAGCAGGATGACAACCAATGGAGCATGCATATTTTAGTTTTAATCAGCAAAGGCAGCACCCTGATTTCTTATTCTATTCTGTATGTGTTTACAATGGTGTGATCTATACTTTTATGGACTAAATTCACTTCTGCAGTGTATGGAGTGTGGAGTCTTCTAAACAATTCACACATGTGTACAAACATTATAATGTGTACAGACACATTTTCCTATAGGTCGCTGTATAAATATCATACTTATTACATGTCTTGTAATGGCCTTGTTTTTCTTGTTTGAAGGACATGAAATGGATCGAGGAGAAGCAGGCACTTTATAAGAGGAATCAAGAGTTACTGGATAAAGTAAGACTTCAACTTGAACTACTATATCGCAAGGCATTTATCTTTGAGCCACAGATAAAGAAGAGAAGTGCGCAAACCCAATGAATTAAAAGATGATTTAACTGTAAATAAAATAGCTTAAAAAAACATACAGTAAAGTAAATAATCCAGGGCTCATCAAAGGCAGTATGGAGATGAAGGAGCAGTGTACAGCCATACAGTTTGAGAAAAAGGTAGAGCCCTAAAATGCACCACTAGCAACAACAATGCTTCTGGAAGTAATTCTCTCTCTATAGCATTCCAAGCAATCAAGGACATTGCATGTTGCCATACTTGAGTGGGTCCCACACTGCAAATGCTATTGCCAGCTGATACTTCCATCTTGGAGTCTCACCACTGGCCATGGACTGTAGGGCTTTATGCTGCTACCACATGCCCAAAGGCCTTTGATGATCCTCTTTTAAACCATGTGGTTTGCTCCCTTCTCTTCCCTCTGTGTCTCAGTGCTGGATCTCCCCAAACATTAGGAACTCCAGAACCAACCGCAATTCTCATCTTCCTTTCACTTCTGGACTTGTTTGTCAAATTTGGGGAACAGACCTGTTGATGCATTGACCATTTGTTTGGTTTACATACAAATTACTGTGTTCTGCTTTTTTGTTCTATTATTTGTCCATTTTTATTTTTTGCGCAGAGCACCACAAATGATCCCATTCCAACCAATTAGAACTCCTTATTGTCTATAAGATGCTGAAACTGGCTAATGTTAGCTGCTATGAATTACAGCTCTTTATAAATATTTGCACACACTCACAAAGCTACAATATCTACTGTACATAGCTAAATGCCTGCAGTGGTTGCCCAAGACAATCAGATTCTTGCTTTTAGTCTTTCAGTGTAGCATAGAACTTGGAAGAGAACCATAACTTGTTATGTGAAGAAAACTAGTTCTTTCTTTAGATACAGTAGTTGGATAAACAAAACAGACTGTTAAAGGTAGCGCTTCTCAACCTTTTTTTTCAGTTAAGGCACCCTTTTAAATTATGCACAATCTCAACGCACCCCATTCCAAAATGTAAAAAATTAAACTTATAGTATACCAAAACTCTGCAACATCCACATGCGTAGGACACCCTACATTATAGGTGATTTATTCTTCCAAAGCAAGTATACCTTTGCACTTCTTAGTACGTCTTAGTATTCCAGCATTTTTACCTTGTCCGTCAGTTTCTCCCCCTCACTCAGCTAATGTGACCCCAGTGCTGATGGAGAGGGGCAAGGGAGGGTCAAACAAGGATGCTGTGCAGGCACCCAACGTTTTCCTTGTCATCTGATGTTAGGACGCTGGCGTCTGAAAGGTTGTAATGGTGCACAATGAAAACCTGTGGCTTTGTGTAACTAAAAGGCAGGTTTCATCCATCTGTTGGCATGTACAGTTGCAAGAAAAAGTATGTGAACCCCTTGGGATTACATGGAATTTTGCATGAATTGGGCATAAAATGTGCTCTGAACGTCATCTACGTCACAACAATAGAAGAACACAGTCTGCTGAACATAATACTACACAAACATTAGATGTTGCCATGGTTTAATTGCACATAGCATGTAAAAATTCACAGTGCAGGGAGGAAAAGGTATGTGAGGCCCTAGCTTAATGACTTCTCCCAGAGCTAATTGGAGCCAGGAGTGAGCCAACCTTGACTCCAATCAGTGTGATGATATTGGATGTGTTGCTGACAGCTGTCCTGCCCTTAAAAAACACACACCTGTTTTGGGTTTACTGGTTTCAAGAAGCACTGTCTGATGTGAACCATGCCTCGCAGAAAAGAGCTCTCAGAAGACCTACGATCAAGATTTATTGACTTGCATGAAGCTGGAAAGGGTTACAAAAGTATCTCCAAAAGCCTTGATGTTCATGTGTCCACGGTAAGACAGACTGTCTGCAAATGGAGAAAGTTTAGCACTGTTGCTACTCTCCCTAGGCATGGTCATCCTGTAAAAATGACTGCAAGAGCACAGCGCAGAATGCTGCATGAGGTAAAGAAGAATCCCAGAGTGTCAGCTAAAGACCTACAGAAATCTCGGGCACATGCTAACATTTTTGTTGACACATCTACAATAAGGAAAACATTAAACAAGAATGGAGTACATGGGAGGACACCACGGAGGAAGCCATTGCTGTCCAAAAAGAATATTGCAGCACGTTTGAAGTTTGCAAAAGAGCACCTGGATGTTCCACAGCACTACTGGCAAAATATACTGTGGACAGATGAAACCAAGATTGAGTTGTTTGGGAAGAACACACAACACTATGTGTGGAGAAAAAAAAGGCACAGCACACCAACATCAAAACCTCATCCCCACTGTAAAACATGGCGGAGGGAGCATCATGGTTTGGGGCTGCTTTGCTGCCTCAGGGCCTGGACGGATTGTTGTCATTGATGGGAAAATAAATTCCAGAGTTTATCAAGGCATTTTTCAGGAAAACGTACGACCATCTGTCCGCCAACTGAAGCTCCGCAGAGGATGGTGATGCAACAGGACAATGACCCAAAGCATACAAGTAATTCAACAAAACAATGGCTGCAACAGCACAGAATACGCCTTCTGGAGTGGCCCAGTCAGAGTCCTGACCTCAACCCGATTGAAATGCTGTGGCATGACCTTAAGAGAGCGATTCACACCAGACATCCCAAGAATATTGCTACACTGAAACAGTTTTGTGAAGAGGAGTGGTCCAAAATTACTCCAGATAGTTGTGCAGGTCTGATCTGCAACTACAGGAAACGTTTGGTTGAGGTTATTGCTGCCAAAGGAGGGTCAACCAGTTCTAAAGTCCAAAGGTTCACATACTTTTTCCTCCCTGCACTGTGAATGTTTACATGTTATGTGCAATTAAACCATGGCAACATCTAATTTTTGTGTAGTATTATGTTCAGCAGACTGTGTTCTTCTATTGTTGTGACTTAGATGACATTCAGAGCACATTTTATGCCCAATTCATGCAAAACTCCACGTAATCTCAAGGGGTTCACATACTTTTTCTTGCAACTGTATACATTTTTGGGCAATTTTTATTCATTTTGAAGAAACCTGTAGGCATCCCAGGGTGCCTTGGCACCCTGGTTGAAAAAAACTGGTTTAAGGTTGGGTATACTGCTTTGTATGGAAGAAGTTTACTGAAATGAACATATGGTAAAATAATCAATGTTCTTTCCACTGCAGATTAAGCAAATGGAGACTGACGAAGCCAAATTGAAACATGATGTCCAAGATGCAAAGGACCAGAATGAGCTGCTAGAGTTCCGAATCTTAGAGCTCGAAGTAAGTAATCCAGGTGTTTTTTTAGGTGGCTTCCTTTGGTGTATGATGTTGGTGCAGACCTTCACAGACCCAGACTAAATTGGAGTAAACAATATACCTGTTCACACAGTTTCAATAAAAGAAAACTGCTTCTGCATGCTTTGTGTTACTTTGTCATTCAGAATGAAGAGGCCTCAGGGAATTACTAACTCTCAGCAGGGTAGGCTCACTATAATGGTCTCCATGTACTACAGTACAGTACATAAAATAAAAGAGTAAATATAACTCTATAAAAATGAGGAGGAAAAAGACTATCCACCATATGAGATGGTTGGGAAAATCCAAACTAAAAGATAAAATGGACAGAAGCTCCTCTAAGAGTATCACTCAAATCTAAATAAGGCTGTAAATTATAGTCACACCCGCTGTAGTGGCCAGTATGTGCACTGTGGCAAATATGAGTTGAGTGAATTCCCTGGTTCAGACTGCGGGCTAAACAAGAGAAGTATTAATGTATATGGCTAGCCTTACCACACATACATTTTGGTCATAAGTGGGCCAAGTCAGCCCTAGGCTTCTTATATGTCTTAGATATTGTAGAAAGACCTCCTTGCCATATTTCCATCTTTTTCTGTTCAACTGTGAGATTTGAGTGTGCACACAACCTGTTGCAGTTCTTCCCGTGACAGTCTCTCTGTCAGCCATTCTCAACCAGGGTTCCATGGAAAGCCAGGATTCCTCCAGAGGTTACTAGGGGTTCTTCCGGCTGTGATTGATTTCCCTCATATTTGGTGGTACGTTCATAGTTCTAGAGCCATTGCTATTTAGAAAATCAAGTAGCATGACACCCATTATCTTTTTAACAGTCTTGAAGGGTGGCATTCTGACGTCTGCTGTAAGGGTTGTGTTCTTCCTACTGATTACTAATTTAAAAGGCATTTTTCCATTGACCCCTGATGAATTGGTTTTAGTAAGGGTTCCCCGAGACCTTAAAATATTTTAGTGGATCCAATGGGGTAAAAGACTGAGAAAACTGCTCTTTAAAAAACAAAAGATAAAGCCGTCCAGCAGGAAGTCACAATGGCCACAGTAGGTGTGCAGACGCAGACTGTAAACTCAAGTGCTGAAATCTCACCAGAGGGTTTATCTCTCCAGCATCTATCAAAAACTTTACTATCAGTTTTGTGTGAAAGCCCCGATATATTAGATCTATAACTCTTGTCTTCTCAGGAGCGAGAGCGGAGGTCACCTGCTATAAATTTCCACCTCATTCCCTTTCCAGAAGGGAAGAGTCCGCTCCAGGTCTATTGTGAAGCTGAAGGTGTCACAGTAAGTAGAACATTGCCTCTTCTATATAGACCAAGTTTTTGAAAGTGTTGTTTCTACTGACAAGTTTGATCCATTTTCTTTAGGACATCATAGTCTGTGAGCTGATGAAAAAGCTGGACATCCTAGGGGATAACGCCGTAAGTGTATGTTCACTTTCTAAATTGTGCATGTTCTAGCGGCTTCATTTGTCGCACACACAAACACAATCTGCTCTAACAGGTGGAGTGTACTGACTGAAAGCAATCTAATGACTTCTGAGAGGACAACATTGTGCCATTTCACAATTTGTCTGGGTCCTGCTCATCTATCTGGAAGCAGCATCCTGTGCCATTGCTAATCCTATGCTCAACAAAATACTGCTTTTTCTGTGCTACAAAATTGTTCTTATGTCATCTGCCTCCTTATATTTGAATTTATAATTCCATACTGGGTTTTGATGATTTGGAGATAATCTACAGTGAAATTGGTGGTTAGGGAAAATAGGAAGTACCCTGCTTTAGATGAGGATTTCATATTTGCGCCCTAACTCCCATAAAATGTCCTGCCTCTTGTACTTTTATATTTTTTTGCCAAGCCAAAACCATTTTCTAGCTTAAAGTATACCTAAACCTGTAGAAGAGTGTTAGTACCCTTTAGGTTCAAGCCCTCCCTTTTGTATTAATCAATGGGCCTCTCAGTTATGGTTATGGGAATGTCCTTGGCTTTTAAGGGACAATGCGAGAGGGACTAGAGGTTGTAGAGTTTGTAGAGTTTGAACATTTCTATGGTGAGGATTGAGCAGGCCACCTCCTGTTACTAGTGCACCAGGAATTACTGAGTCACAGTAAGTTAAATTCCATGGAATATCCAGATAATAGAAGAGAAACAATGCAAAGGGGAAAATAGAGGGGGCAATACTAAAAATGGGGACCCATCTAAACACCCGCACAATAGTGAACACTCTAACCCAGGGATGTCAAACTGGATTTACACCCAGCTGTGCCCAGCTAAGTCCCATCATGCCTCTGCCTTTGGGAGTCATGCTTGTAACTGTTAGCCTTGCAATGCCTCATGGGACTTGAAATTTGACAACAGCTTGAGAGCCGCCAGTTTGACACCCCTGCTCTAACCCATAAAGAAAGGAAAACATTTCAGTAGGAACTTTATTAAGCTACATTGCTGGAAAACTTGTGTATGCAAAACCAAGATGTATGTTTTAAGAGTAATTAAATAAAATCATTGAATTTCAGCCCCTATCCAAATGGACAAATCTGTATGTACAAGAATAAGAAAAGAAAGCTTGGCACCCTTGTGGATGCTGTCTTTGCAGTGAAGACTGGAGGAATCAATACCTGTCCTGCAACCCTATGTAGGAAGGTTGAGTGCTGAGTGAGCCACTTCTTGCCTGGTCTTGCCAGAATTTTAGTGATCTTGTAACTTCCTGTGGACAGTACGGTGTCATTAGCATTCTTAGCTACCTTCTGGGAACTGCTGTACAAAGCAACTCCCCTATATGCAATGGAGATGAGAAGAAGTGGAGATGTTTGAAGCCCACTCAAGGGAGCAGCCTAGGGTGATGACACTGCTCCTCCAGAGTTACAATGCAATGAATGAGCATTGTCATTGTAGGACAGGAAGTATGTTCTTATCAGAATCTCCAGGTGAATATAAGAGTGAAAATTGTAAGCTGCAGTATATTACATTTATGTTTTTGAGTTTAGATATACGTTAGGATAAAGTGGGGAAATAATGGAACCCCTGTCAAGTTTTTACTGCTATGTAGGGTAATAGAAAGGAAGCAGGGGCAATATGCAAAGCAGACAGAGATAGAAATAAAAAGCTGACAGGGTTCCAGCCCTCCCCTAATTTACTATAGAAAATAATTTTTTTCTTTCTGGATAACAGCACTGGATAATGATATAAATCTAAAGGAGGTTCTAACGTTTTGCCTGGAAATACACCTAAAAGCTTAACTCCAGTCCTTTCCTCATTTTCTCTTACTATGACGCCCATACAAGAAATGAGGGGTATGGCCATCACTGCAAAAGGAAGGAAAAAACATCAATAAAATATTAATAAAAATGTAAAAGTGAGCGCTATCCAGTCAGCAGCTAAGCACTCAAGGTAACCAAATAAAACCTTACAAATAGAATAAATAAAACAGTGCAGCGCTAAATGGTAACAAATAAAGAACAGAAAACTACTAATAAAGTTCAGTAAAGAAAACAGTCCGTGATACTATAAAGTGCCAGGTGACTGGTTAAAAACTCGATGGTGAGGGTGCTCCGTGAGAAATGGCAGAAATACGCACTCACCAGATGCGTGTTAGTTATACGCATTATGTATCACATCCAGGGGTGTCCACATCAGATATAGGTCTGGTCAAGGTTTAAGGTAATCCTCCCTCAGAGGTGGTAGACAGCAAATGCTCAGGTAACAAATTAATAAGATCCAGGTAACCAGAGGTCCCTTTAAGGGATGAACAGAAGAGGCTGCCTGCTTACAGGGTAACTTCCTTCTCTGGGTAAGGCAACTGGATCACAGAAAGCGGGGCTCTGAAAATAAATACTCCTCAGGGGAGTCAGGGAAGGATGCCCATAGTGTAGTATTCAAAATCAGGTATTTATTAGGTAAAATGATGTTTGCAAACATGTATAAGCAGATAAAACAATATCAGGACTGAAGAGGTGAACTAACCCTCCAGAGTCAAAGATGGCTGCCGGGCCTCCACGTGGCTCCGGCGGCGTAGCGTAGAGGAAGAAACCATGGTTTCTTCCTCTGATGAAGTGTGTGCGCACGTAACACGTAAGGAGGAGCCAGGACGTCGTGACGCTACGCCACCAGAAATGAACAATTTAGACACCTTATATAGGTAACCACTGACTCCAATTATATTTATAGCAAACTGTCTGGGGAATTATTCCCACTGAGCCCCAAATGGCCTTTTTCCCAATGACCAATGATGTAATGGGATCAGTAATTAAATGGGGTGCGTCACTGACCACCAACATAAGAAAACACTAACATTTTCACCGCCTGCATTTCTTCTCTGGCCATTATCGTTATCATTAATATTATGCAATTCATAATTTCATTATTATTACTTGAAACAAATTATTAGCAGGGGTTCCTTGGGATTCCTGGAAATTATTTCAAGGGTTCCTCCTTGTTAATAGGTGGAAAAAAGGCTGAATTAGACTACTGGACAACAGGGAAAACATATGGAGGCACAAAGACTAGAGACTCAAAAATAATATTAAACCTTCATTAAAAAACCTAGTAGACTGTCTGCCTCCCCTTTTCCCCTACCTCATGGCATTATGTTTATTAATATAGAACAAGAGCTCTTTTTAAGGAAGACTCCAAAGAAAACCTTGGCTGGAGCTGTCTGCGTAGAACTCAGGTTCCAGCTAACACACCTTGGTGTATGTAGTGGATCACTCATATACTGTATGCTCCAAGTTTCAATCTTCAATCTGTATGGGGTATCCCTAAAGTCTGGACACATAGGAAATATCACTATATATATATATATATATGTATATATATATATATATATATATATATATATATGTATATATATATATATATATATATATATATATATATATATATATATATATATATATATGTGTGTGTGTATAACATATCACTACATAATCTCACCAGACCTTAACCTCCTTGACTTCTATTTTTGGGGTATGTTAAAGGAGAAGGTGTACGCAATGAGAATAACAGACATGAATCACCTGAAATAATGCATCATGAACGAAATGTGCTCAAATTGACAGAAATGTGGAGTTGCTGCATTGGGTTCATGTGAATCCTGCAAAGCGCATGGAACTTTGCACCACAAATGGTGGAAATCACATTGAAGATGTTATTGAGTAATATTCTAATGAAATAAAATGTTGAAAAATATAGTGAAATGTATTGAAAACATGAATTTTGCCTATGTGTCCAGACTTTAGGAACACCCTGTAGAGTGATGAAATCTGTACCCTCTCTCTCGCTACCTAGAGTTGGTTTTCTTAAGTAAATCAGCATGTTGTCTTGTCACTAAATACTGGCAATGCAGAACAGTAGAGAAAACAAAGAGTGAAAGGAGGCATGAAGAGACTCAGCAACTACAGTTCCCACATAGAAAATGGAGTTTTAGTTGGTCTCTTTGGCCTCTTCCAGTAATGGTTGGGCTTCTCTGGTCTTGCAATGAAAAGAAAGAGCTATTCAGGGAGAGTTGACTGCCATTTTAGGATCAGCAAATACAATGGCTGCCATCAAACAATTTAGAGTCCACAAAATGTGATCTTCACCTTGTTGAGGTAAGCCAGAACTTAGGAGGCATTGAGCCTTAGCCTATTGGATCACTCATGTACTCATGACTTCGCAAGTGAGCTTGCTAGTGGTTAAGGTTTGGTGGGGTTGGGGTTGGCTAGTAGAACATAAACTGTATGTTCTGGACACTTGCTGTAAATAGACTCTTTCAACAGCTATATTTACACACGAAGAGGGGAACAGCCACATACACTGCCTCTCAAATGAAGATAAGTGTCCTATGACTGTGATCACATAATATAGCAATGGTGCTTAAATAATAATTTGTAATACCTCTGCTCCTGACTAATAGAGAAGATTGACCACCACAAGGTTTAGTGGAACATTGCAGGATGTAAGGAAAACAATAATGGTCAAAGTAGAGTCAGGTTTAAAATACCATTGATTCAGAAAAAAAAATACATTATTTTACATAATAAATAAGTCACATAAGTGCAATGGTTGCCATTAAATATAAAATACTAGAAAAAAATAGGATAAAAAGCTACAATGATAAGCTCATCATGGAAAGATGAGATGGTTCTACTTTCCTGTCAGATTTTGTATGCCATCAGTGCCGAGACCTCTATATCAAATCCTGGAACACATTATATAATTTCATTCTGTGATGATCAGATACCAGGTCCTTTACTGTCTGGGATCCAAATTAAACAGGAGCGCCAGGCTACACATCTCCTAGTAGTTTACTTTGAACTTTCATGTTGTCCCTTCTAGTCAGATTCTAATATGTTCTGGTGGAGCTGCTTCATGTGTTACATGACCTGAGCCATACTGGCTTCCTCCTATGCTCCACTGGATGTAGATGTGGCTACTGTGGGCTCCATAAAGAGCTTTCATAGGAGGGACAGTCTGAAAAGGTGTAAGCTATTGCTGTACTCTCTGTTTATAAACCCACAATCCCTTGTAATACGAGTGTCATGGGTGCACCTTATACTTCATTTTTATTTATAAATAAGACTTTTTAAATAAATAGCTAAAAACTCTAACAAATCAATTTTAAAATATATTTAAAAAGTTGCAAACAAACCTATATAGTAGATATAAAGTCTTCTACATAAAACATATTCCTTCTATCAGTCAGAACACTTCACGTGGATCTGCTGCAAGCTTTCTGTAGGACTGCAACAGATTACTTACCAGTGGATGACAAAGGACTGTGATCCCATGCTTCGCTTCATTGTAAAGCTTTGTGTCTTTAGAGTTGATTGTATTATTGCTTTGCTATAACTACTTTTAAATTGTTTTGGGTGCAGAATTTGACAAATGATGAGCAAGTGGTTGTTATTCAGGCAAGAACTGTCCTAAATCTGGCTGAAAAGGTAGGTGTGAATTTAAGCCAACTAAGCCTCCTTTACAGGAGTTATGTGAGTCTAGTTGAAGCATAGTAACTGAAATACGGTACATGTTATATTCTCCATATGAATTCGGTGACCATACTGGAAAGGATTTTGGTTAGCATCTTTTTGATTTTAAACAGGAATTGAACTGGAAGCTGGGCCAAAGAAAGACAGATGGAGGGAAAATGGCTAGTCATCAGTTCCAGGACAGTCCTACCTTTGGCCCTGTATGATGTAATGCCGTTTCCCTGGCCATATCCCGGGATCATGGTCAGAACAAGGGGTGGGCAGCAAGGGGCAGCTGCCCTGGGCACAGTGGGGATTTGGGGGATTGTGCTATTAGGGAGGATTTGGAGGGGGGATTTGTACTAGGAGGGTAGATTTGTGTTAGGAAGGGGATTTGGGGGGGGGGGGTTATGCTAGTGGGGATGATTGAGATTTGTGCTAGGGGGGAAATATGTGGGGGGGGGGGGTGCTTGTGCTAGTAGAGTTGATTGAGGGGACTTGTGCTAGGAGGGGGATTTTTTTTTTGGGGGGGGATTAGTGCTAAGAGAGGGGATTTGGGGGGGGGGGGGTTGTGCAGAAAGAGTGAAATTTGGAGGGGATAATTTATGCTCAGAGGGGAAATTTGAGGGGTAGAGGATTTGTACTAGGAGAGGGATTTGGGGAGGGAGAGAATTTGACCTCGGAGGGAGGGGGGCTTGGCTTGCAAAGAGAATTTATGCTTAGGGGGTAAGTGTGAAGATTAGTGATTAAATTTTTTTGAGGTAAAGGAGGGGATTTTGCTGACTCATACATTTTGCGATGGGGGTCTCCGTTTGGTCCTAGATGACCATTTCATGGCACTGCCCATCAACCTTATTTCAGTTACTGCATATGTAACTCAAAAAAGGCATAAATTGCCCGGATCGGGCTGTGAGCGAGAAGAACCCGCATACGGTCTGAATGGGATCAACCAGTAAACTGGAAGTGATGGCAGTCCCCTTGCAGTCCCCTTATATTTTGAGGTGGGGTATGGACTGGGCCCACCTTTGCATACACATTGTATACAGTATTCATTTTTAAATTTTTTTACACTTTTTGTGCATATTTTTTCTTTATGAGGGTGGTCTGGATTTGGTCAGTGGAGATCTGATCCCAGACCCTTCATGCAGCTGTGCAGCAACAGATCACTTCTTAAAGGGGTCTATTGCTGGCTGTAGTCAGCAAATATACCAGGAGGTAGCCCATTCCTTCTTAAAGGAGCAGAGACATGCAAAAAGCCCAGCACAGCACACTAGCAGCTGAACCTCCAATGTGTCTTTGCACACTCTTTTATATATGCAATACCTGTTTTATTGCAAGTTGTTGAAACAGTGTAATTTGTTTTATTTTTTGTTTTGTTTTTTTGGGTTTTTTTTTTTGGCTAGCTGGAATAAGTGCTAGGAACTTTTTATATTGTGTGTTTTCACTATGAAAATCACTGCATGCAGGCATATCAAACACTGTTATCATGTTATGACACAGACTGCAATGCCCATGACCAACAGATCTAAAACTGCCAAAGCCCTGAGGAAGGGGAGACCTAAATCCCCTGATAAGAGTTGTCTTTTTGTATTCATACCCTAATAAAGTGATCATTGTTCTTCAGCCAAGCTTGAGGTTCCGAGACTTTCTATTCACTCTCAGCAATCCTCACCCACCTCCACAATCTTCAATGTTAAAACCAAATTAGCATATTTTCATCTTCAGGTGGTTCATTTTAGGCACTGACCTATGTTTAATGTATTGTATAATTATACATGTGAGTGTTGGATCCATAAGATATCATTTATATAGCCTGTAATGTTCCTTGCAGCCTATGGTGCCATTCACCTGCATTACATCCACCATCCATACCTTAAAGCCTAAAATATTATCTCTGTAATATACAATTGATGTGTTAATCATCGGCTGATACCTTTTTATCACTTTTAGTGGCTTCAGCAAATTGAGGTGACAGAGTCTGCTCTTCAGCAAAAGATGGTCGACCTGGAACATGAAAAGGTAATACTGACCGTTTATCAGTGTCTATTTAGATATACAGTACAAGTCACAGAAGTCGGTGTGTGATGTAAATAATCTTTTGGGCCCCATTCACACCTGAACATAACAGGAATAGGTGTTCCTGCTCGCTTTTTTTTGCACGAATAAGGCATCCCATTCATGTTAATGGGCTCTCCTATGCGTGACAAATGCTCCAAAACCTTTTTTTGGAGTGAAGCTTGATGCGTTTTTGAATGCATGTTTTGTCGCGAGGAATAACATATGTCTGCTACCCGCTCTTGGGGAGCCATTAACAATTAATGGCACTGCAAGCGCGACGCATGATTTCCAAAATACATGGCAAAACACGTGTTTATTTGTGTTTTGTTATGCATTTAGGAATCACACAGATGTAAATGCAGCCTTAGTGTGTGTGTAAATGATTTAGATCATTTGTTGTTATTTATAATATTAGAATGTAATTAAAAAGTCATATTTTCTGGTCACCTATCCATGCATCTGATTACTTGATATGCAATGGTTGTAATTTACGGCTTCTCCTTATAATGTAAGTCAGGTGAGTTGACCCGAATTAGTGAAAATGCACTGTATGTCTAGATATCTCATCTGAAAGTTGTAAGCAGTGGTAGAGTAATTGCACTAAGCCACAAGAGATCCCCTTGGTGGGCAGTCTACAGTATCCATTTTTAATAAAAGAACAAATTTATGAATGGGCGAGTATATAAAATGGGAAAGTAAAATGGGATCTATATTAAAAAAAATCTGCATGGCCCAGTGAAAGTTCAAGTATATTTATTTTGTGAGTATGGGGCAAAAAACAACTGTGATTATACTATTTTTTAAATGGTTGTATTTTTTTATTGATTTAAAACGGACAAAACTGCATTTGGCCACTAGATTGTGCAAAGTATCATAGGTAAATTGCTATGATATTCCTCACTATCTATTGGGCAAATGCTGAATTATCCATTTTAGAACAATGAAAAACATTTAATCAGCACAGGAAATAGCCTAATAACCCCTAATAACCCCTAATGCCCCATTCACACAGAAAAAATGAATAGGCCCTTTCACTGGACAATTTGCTATGCAAATTGTTTTGTTGTAAGTATTTTTTTTCATTGATGTGATTGTAAATCTCTGACATGAAGTATAAACAAAGTATATCCCTCTATAGCAAAGGTACTGAATTAAAATTCACGGGGGTTCGGTCAGTAAAATTTTCTTCCAGCGGAGGTCCGAGTGTCATGTTGGTGCTATGACTCATGCTTCACATCACAACCTCCCGTGCACATCACAGTTCCTCCCCTCCACTCCATCCCCCCCCCTTTTACAACACTTACCGCCCCATCCCGAGAACACTTCATCACAGAATGCCCCATCACAGACTGCCCCATCACTGACCCTGCTCATCACAGATAACCTCCATGACAAACCCCTCAGCACAGACCCTGGTCATCACAGACCCCTCATCACAGATCCCCCTCATTACAGATCCCCCTCATTACAGATCCCCCTCATCACAGATCCCCCTCATCACAGATCCCCCTCATCACACAGATCCCCCTCATCACAGATCCCCCATCACAGACCCCTCATCACAGATCCCCTCCATCACAGATCCCCTAAATCACAGATCCCCTCAATCACAGACCGCCCATCACAGATCCCTCAGCACAGACCCCACCCAATCACCTCCCCCTCATAACAGACCCTTTCTCATCACAGATCCCCTCCATCACAGATCCCTTAGCACAGACCCCCCCCCCCCCCAATCACCCCCCCCCCCCCTCATAACAGACCTTTCCTCATCACAGATCGCCCCATCACAGTCCTTCCTGCATAATATAGATTCCGTCTCTTTTATAACATTGCAGCACTCCCCCTTGCTCCCCCCCCTCCCCACACTGTCCTACCATATTCACACATGACAGCAAGCATGGCAGGTCTGGACATAGGGTGGGACTTTTCATGTTAATGGTCAATGGGTGAATGGTTGCTTGGACCACCCCGCTGCCTAGCAATCAATCAACCGCAACCAATCAATCACTTCCCAACATGAAAAGTCATGTGAATAAGGTAGGACAGTGTGGGGAGGGAAGGGGGGGAGTGCTGCGATGTTGTGCCCTTCCTTGAGGACAGCGGCAGGCGGGTGAGGCGGCTGTAATGGACCCCTGACACCCATGACTGGGTATCTCCGTCAACAAGCTGCTTCTCAGGCTCTGGAACACAAGACCAGTGAATCTGGCTATTGTTACCCCAAGATTCAGACGACACCAGATTTGAAGTAAACCAGAGGTAGACTACTTTATTTGAACACAGATACAAGATATATACACTCAGGGGACAATCCCTCCTCCCTGCATAATGACACAGGGCGGGACAATCTACATTTAGTAACAAAAGACACACAGGTATTCAAACTTCACACCAGCACACAGTCCCATCAGGAGGGAGGGCTGCCGGAGACACCCCCCCCCCCCACTAAGCTAATACACATAAACACATACATCCCATAATAGTTTTCTCCCAAGACAGACAAACAATAGAACAATGGGATGCAGCCACATAACATTAAACAATCAACAACCCCACCCCACCTATCTCCTAAACATGTCTACACAGTCCGTGACAAAGCCCACACAATATTAGGAGAGATCACCCTGTACCCTTAACAGGCACAGGGTGATTTACACATAAGAGGGATATGGGGAGCTGAGACAGGGGTCTCCCCACCTCTCCAAAGTGAGCTGGGTTCCATGGGCCCCGCACCCAAAGTTACTCCCGTCAAAGCGGCTGCGGGGAGAGGACATTCAGGCAACTATCTGTTGAGGCTGTGGTCCAGAAGGGAATGTTTCTGGGTCGGTATCCAGATGGCGGTCCACCATTTATTGATGCCTGCTCTATAGTTTGTACCTGTCTTAATCCAGAACACTAAGGGGTTTATTTACTAAAGCTGGAGAGTCCAAAATCAGACTCACTTCTGCATAGAAACCAATCAGCTTCCAGGTTTCATTGCCAAAGCTTCATTGAACAAGCTGAGGTTAGAAGCTGATTGGTTTCTATGCGAAGGGAGTCTGATTTTGGACTCTCCAGCTTTAGTAAATAAACCCCTAAGTGTCATTTATTTCTGCTGCCTCATTCCTCTGCTATCTGCATGAGTAATTTCTGACACGTTTTTCCACACCAAGAGATAAAAAGGTGATGGGGAGGGAGCTCCAGCACACAGCCTGTGACTGAGAGCCTCAACTCTTTTCCTATGTGCTCTGTGAAGGGGGGAGGGGGTTATCTCTTTCCTCGAATCAGCTCTCACTGAGCTCTGCAGAGCGTAACCTCAGCTCACCGCCTCCTGCTTTCTGAAAGCTTAGACAAGCTGTATAAATTCTGCACTTTGAACAGCTGTAAAGGAGAGATGGCTGCAGATAAATAGATACAACTTATGTAGAAAGGTGTGTTTCATCACCTGAGGCCAGTCACTTCACTGCGTGTATGAAAGGGTTTACAACCATTTTAAAAACTGCAGTATCAACTGATTATACGTGATTGCTAATATTGGTTTGCTTGTGCCGTTCTATCTAGGAACTGTTCACTAGGCAGAAGGGATATTTGGATGAAGAGCTTGACTTCAGGAAGAAATCACTGGATCAGTCTCACAAGGTAACTGTAACATCGTAGAATTATTTATTTCCAGCACAAAGTATGTGTGAGAAAAAAGTTGTGGATTAAAAGGAGAGTATCATGATGGCTCTTTCTGGGAGGCTGGTGGACCCAAGAAGACAGTTCCAGTATTTCCATGGGTACAGAGAACAGATCATACACATAGCATTAAAAAAGCAAGATTTTTTATCACTAAAATTTTTTTTTACAGATTTGAATGCAGAAATGGACCCGTGCACACAGTTGCGTACAGATCAGCGCACTTGCACTTCTTTCAGATACATGAAAAAAAAAAGTTAGTAAAAACTGCATTTGAGGTCATATGTATGCACCATATTTTATACTATACATGTAAATGTTTGTGATAACATTTATATGTGTATGGTGCAAATGTATTCTTTTGGAGCAGAGGAACGGTCTGCATCCTAGCAACAGAGGACACTAGATGGCAATAGCTGCCTATGTCCAAGAAACAGAGGACAATAGATGGAAATAAATGCCTACATCCTAGCAATGGAGGACCGTTGATGGCAATGTTTATTTATTTCAGGTGCTTATATAGCGCCATCAATTTACGCAGCGCTTTACATATATATTGTACATTCACATCAGTCCCTAACCCTCAAGGGGCGTACAATCTAAGGTAATACCTGTCTTTGTCCTAGCAAAGGACAACATTAGGCAACAAGAGCTGCCTACGAGCTAGGAACAGAAGAAAGTAGATGGCGATAGCTGCCTGCGTCCTAGCAACTGGGAACACTAGATGGGAATATCTGCCTACATCCTAGCAACAGAGGACACTAGACAGCAGGAGCTGCCTACATCCTAGCAACCAAGAACACTAGAAAGCAATAGCTGCCTATATTCTTGCAAATGAGGACACTAGACAGCAACAGCTGCCTACATACTAGCAACTGAGGATACTAAACGACAATAGCTGCCTGTGTCCTAGCAACCGTGGACACTAGACGGCAAAAGCTGCCTATATTTTAGCACATGAGGACATTAGACAGCAATAGCTGCCTACATACTAGCAACTGAGGATACTAAACGACTATAGCTGCCTGTGTCCTAGCAACCTTGGACACTAAACAGCAATAGCTGCCTACATGCTAGAGGGCACTAAACAGCAATAGCCGCCTACGGCCTAGCAAATGAGGATACTAGATGGCAGTAGCTACCTACAACCAGCAATAGCTACCTATGTCCTAGCAACAGAGAACACTAGACAGGAATAGCTGCCTACATCCTATCAATTAAGGACACTAAACGGCAATAGCTACCTACATCCTAATAACAGAGGGCACTAGACAGCAATAGCTGCTTGTGTCCTAGCAACGGAGGACACTAGGCAACAAGAGCTGCCTGGTCCTAGCAACAGAGGAGACTAGGTCGCAATAACAGCATAGGTCCTAACAGCAGAAGAGAATAAATGGCATTGGCTGCTTGTGTCCCAGGCAAAGGATGACACTAGGCGGCCACTACCAATAGGCTGCAAATGCCCTGTGTGCTTGTAATCATGTAAATGTTGCTCAAACCTTACATGTGCACAGCACACAGAGCACATTTTTACACAGGATTTCACTGCCAGCTTCTGTCAGCAAGATTTTCTTGTGGCCATACAGATTATCATGCAGCCATGTGCATGTACCCTAGAAAAAAACACATCAAATCAAACATAGATCAGCAGGTTCCTATTTACTTCATTGGTGAAGTGGATGACAGGCAGTATTTGGCCTGCTTCGGATTTGTTTAGATTCAGCAGGTCTTGCTGAGAGGTACTTGCAATTCAGGCACAGCAGGTCAATTTCTGATTGATTTTAAAAATCACTGTGTGAATGCCTCAGCATAATCCCAGTATTGTGTCTAATATGTGTATTTCCGATAGGTGTTATCTCCATCCAGAGAACATAATATAGTATTCTTCTGATTGAGGTATTTTTAGGACAATACTGCATTATGACCACTAGATGGCACTGATGATCACAGAAATACAAATATTGATGGCTGTGTGAATGATTAAGCTTTTTTTTTATTTCTGTTTTTTTATTAAATAGACTCCTATAGCATTTAACAGCAACTTTGGTCTGCATAAACCCTAACAGTAGCTATTAACTAAGAATATATTAACCCTTAGCATATCCTGGAGCTGGAGGCCATGTTGTATGATGCATTGCAGCAAGAGGCTGGAGCCAAGATGTCTCAGATACTGTCAGATGAAGAACGGGACGAGCTGAAGAATGCTGTGGAGCAGTGGAAACGCCAGGTGATGAGCGAACTACGAGAGAGAGATGCCCAGATTCTCCGCGAACGTATGGAGATAATTCAGCATGCACAGCAGGTACAAAACTCTCCATAGTCCTTGTGTCAATGGTAATATCATTTACAGAACTGTATCTTTTGGATGGGCCATCAATGTACAGGATTATTCAGCAACTGTTTAGAAATACTTTCCTTGTTCTCCTATTTTACTGTTGCATACTGTTTTCTAATTCCCACTGGAGCAGCATCTGGATAGCACGGTGTCATTTAATATTCGTTCACCTTCTTCTTTCACCAAAAACTGGTTGTATTCGGTTGTAAGCTTGTGAGTAAGTGGTTTGCGCTCTACTTAAGGAACTGGGGCACTGGCTTCAATTACCACCTGTATTAGTATTTGCATGGAGTTTGTACTGTAGCTTTCGTGTTTATGTGGGTTTCAAACATACATTTTCTTTTTTTTAAGACACTAAAGTGGAACTATAGTGTACATTCGGAAATGTTCAAGCCAGAAGGTTTTTAAATGCAGAGGAGACATACTATGGGGTCTATTTATAGAAAATTCAATGTACAAATGTGAAAAACATTTGCAGAGCTGCAAGAAAAACAGATTGCTGTGTTTTGTCTAATATAATTATTTCCTGTGATCATCAGCACCATCTAGTGGTTAATATACTGTATTTTCCTTATTGAGGTATGTTAGGAAACACTGCATTAAGGCCACTAGATGGTGCATAATATTATAGGAAATAATCATATTAGACAAAATACAATGATTTTTTTTGTATTACAGCTGTGTGAATGTTTGTCACAGATATGAATAGACCCCTTTGTTCCTTCTGCAAGAAAAAAAAATTCCTACCTTCCTCCTCACAAACATTCTAAACAGAACCCCCATCAGCGTTATACTGCTATCCGGGCTGTGGTTTAATCGATTTCCCGTCACTTACAGTTTCCATTCACTGGATAGAAGAAAGGGAAAATCTGCAAATCAGACACAGACAGAAAAAATCTGAGAGGCATTCCAGCCTTGACCTACTCTCCTAATAAAAAACATTTTTTTTTGTCCTTGTTTTTGCTGTTGCATATTTTCCTTCACTTTTTGTCTAGTAAAACTGTGGTCATTGGGACAGGGAGTGAGGATAAATTTATCTAAGGGCCGGTGTCAGGCAGCTTTGGGCTTGTGTTGTTTGCATCATTTTGATGTTAGGGGCACTTCTGAGACCATTCAGTATTTATTGACAGCTTCATTTGACATGAAGTTCCATTGGCATTGGCATGTATGTCACTGCACTTATTCTTATGTCCTTTTTTTCACTCTCAGGATAGGAGGGTGCAGGTCTTTGGGCCTACCCAGAAGTCTAGGGGGAGGATGTGTGGCCTTTAGTTTTTTTCCTTTCTTCCCTTGGGCACCCTCTTCAGGTAGACCAGACTGCCTTACCCCTCTCAGGAGCCTTGCACCCTAGGGGTCAGGGAAGGCTATGTCCCCTTTGCGTATAGCACACCTAGTAAACCTTTTTGAGTGTGTTCACATGCACGTTTTTGGTTCAATTTGTTGTTTAGTTTTTTGCACACCGCACTGTAGGCTCAAAGAAATTTCGACTTCTGATTCTGACTTGTATTTTATTTTCTTAATTTCTTCAAGCAGGATTTGCTTCCCCTTAGACTTGAGTTGCAAAACCTGTTTGAAGTGAACAAAAGCCATTGACATAGACTTAATGGAGACCCAGATAGCGGTAAAAATCTGACAAAGATGATTTAGGTGTGTGTGTACTGTATATATATACACTATATTGCGAAAAGTATTGTGATGCCTGCCTTTACACGCACATGAACGTTAATGGCATTCTAGTCTTAGTTCAGAGGGTTCAATACTGAGTTGGCCTGCCTTTGCAGCTATAAAGCTATAACAGCTTCAACTCTTCTGGGAAGGCTGCCCACAAGGTTTAGGAGTGTGTCTATAGGAAGGTTTGACCATTCTTCTAGAAGCGCATTTGTAAGGTCAGGCACTGATGTCGGACGAGAAGGTCTGCCTCGCAGTCTCCATTCTAATTCATCCTAAAGGTGTTCTATCGGGTTGAGGTCAGGACTCTGCAGGCCAGTCAAGTTCCTTCAACCCAAACTCGCTCATCCATGTCTTTATGGACCTTGTTTTGTGCACTGGTGCAGTCATGTTGGAACAGGAAGGGGCCAACCCCAAACTCTTCCCACAAAATTTGGGAGCATGAAATTGTCCAAAATGTCTTGGTATGCTGACGCCTTAAGAGTTCCTTTCACTGGAACTAAGGGGCCAAGTCCAACCCTTGAAAAATAACTCCACACCATAATCCTCCTCTACCAAACTTTACACTTGGCACAATGCATTCAGGCAAGTACCGTTTTCCTGGCAACCGCCAAACCCAGACATGTCCATCAGATTGCCAGACAGAGAAGCGTGAGTCATCACTACAGAGAACACGTCTCCACTGCTCTAGAGTCCAGTGGCAGCGTGCTTTATGCCACTGCATCCCACGCTTTGCATTGCACTTGATGATGTAAGGCTTGGATGCAGCTGCTCGGCCATGGAAACCCATTACATGAAGCTCTCTACACACTGTTGTGCTAATCTGAAGGCCACATGAAGTTAAGAGGTCTTTAGCTATTGACGCTGCAGACAGTTGGTGACTTCTGCGCACTGTGTGCTTCAGCATGCACTGACCCCGCTCTGTCATTTTACGTGGCCTACCACTTTGTGGCTGAGTTGCTGTTGTTCCCAGTTGTTTCCACTTTGTTATAATACCACTAACAGTTGACCGTGGAATATTTAGTAGCAAGGAAATTTCATGGATGGACTTATTGCACAGGTGACAACCTGTTACGGTACCATGCTTGAATTCACTGAGCTCCTGAGAGCGACCCATTCTTTCACAAATGTTAGTAGAAGCAATCTGCATGCCTAGGTGCTTGATTTTATACACCTGTGGCCATGGAGGTGATTGGAACACCTGAATCCAATGATTTGGAAGGGTGGCCCAATACTTTTGGCAATATAGTGTATATTAACTTAGCTCTAACTTAATTTAATTTTTATGTTTGATTTCCGATTAGTCGCTCTGTGGATTTTTACCTTTGATCAGTTCTACTTGCCATACCGAATAAGATCACTTGTGTTTTAACATAATTTGATAGCTATCTTCCCAAATCATCTTCTGGTGCATTGACATTGTATTTCTCTTTCAGAGAATCAAGGAGCTAGAAGAGAGATTAGAGTTCCAGAGAAGACAGATAAAAGAATTAGAAGAAAAGGTAATTTAGCAGCCTAATTCTATTATTTCATATTGAGACAGGACATCTTCAGGATGATTTATGATAACTTGAAGAAAAGATGTGCGCCTTCACTCTCCATAGCAACCAATCAGATTTCAGTTGTCTTTATAAGGTGACATGTTTGAATATGACAGCTAATCCTGATAGGTTTAATGGCCTTCATTAGCTCTAAATCTGATCTAGATTGCTCTAATGTATTTTTCATGGCATCACTTTAGGCATTAATAAGGTCAGTTGACTAACTCACATACTATTTTCATTACCATACATAGTCTATAACTATTTATCATTGAAAGTTATTTTTTCACTTCACCAAATTTCATTATTGCATGAATCTGAATGTATCACATGCACACTATGTTATTCATTTGTAAATGATTTTGTATTTAAGGGGTGTGTTGATAAAAAAAAAAAATGTGCATAGCTGTCCATCCATCAAAACTGCTTTTAAATTTGTTCTACGGGGCAAAACGTAATGTTTCCAGGTTACATTCTCTGCAGAATGAATGCATGAATGTGGAATATACTGCACTATGCTCAATAGCTGGTGCTGAGGAGCATACTTATTTGCTATGATAGCTAGCACCTTCTAGTGGCCATGTATGGCATTTTCAACATTGACACATTTGAACTGCACAGATTATAGCCTGAAGACATTTGATTTTGTCCATTTGCACAGAACGCATTTCCATGCAGTTTTGATGTACAAAAAGGCAAAGCTTTTTGTTTAGTAAATAAAGTTAATTAAAAATGATCACACAAGTAATCATTCCTTGCAATGCTGATAGTTTCTGTTTGAGGTGTATTGTGCGGTTCTATGAGGTGCCTAATGAGGACAGTGAGACAGGGAACCATTGGGTGTGGAGATTTAATGCCAAGAGGAATAGAGGATTTAGATGGATAGATGAGAAGTTCATACCTGAAGAAATAACTGCACACGTATGCAATATTTATGTATGTGAATGGAACATTTCAATAAGGAATATATAGGAAGGTAAAACAGATGCCAAAAAAATTATTCATTTACTGAAGTTCACCTAATGCCTCCCACTGCTGTATCATATAAGGCTAGTACAGTAAGAGTCTCTTGAATGTTTTGTGCTCTGAGAGTTGGAGTAAGGCACGGCCTATAAGAGTGACTACAGTTGCTGGACACCAGTGAAGAACCTAAAACTGCCCATAGTATTCCATACTGGTCAAACATGCACTCATGATCCGGTCATCAAAAGCATTTTTTATAACATTAAAGTGGATATGTGATGGTGGTGGTCGGGGCAGCATGGTAGACTTCCCTTTTAGGTTGACCTCTGACAGCTGCAAGCTCCTCATTGCTGCTCCGTTGTCAACCATTGCTGTTTTCTCTGCTGAATCTTGTGCATCCAATGTCTCCTTTCTTTGGCCATAAGGTAGCTGCTGGTCATGTGATTCTCGCTCAAGCAGGGGCGGACTGACCATTTGGGAACTCGGGCACTGCCCGAGGGCCCTGGGTCAGTAGGGGGCCCCATGAGATGCCCCTGGTACCTTTTCATATGCTTTTTTGGGTGTGGTTTGATTGTGGGCAAGGACACAGGGGCCCCATGATCCCCTATTGCCCGGGGGCCCCATGAGTTGTCAGTCCGCCCCTGCACTCAAGTACACCAGATTTATATTTTCCTGACACCAAGCTTTATTATCAACAGCTTACAGATGCTATGGGAAGACTGAGAGTGTACAGTACCATACACATGTGCCACAGACAGGATATAAATAAACAGCTGAGATAGGGAGAGGAGATTTTTTTAGCAAAAAAGACATACAGGGCTTGATTTACTAAAACTGGAGAGTGCAAAATCTGGTGCATTGTGTATGGCAGCCAATCACCTTCAAACTTCAGCTTGTTCAATTAGACTTGGTTTCTATGCAGAGCTGCACCAGATTTTGCACTCTACAGTTGTAATAAATCAACCCCACAAAGTCTAATACCTTTTTCCTTGATAATGACAAGTACTGTAGCTCTCCTCTCTGAGCGCCTCCTATGTTCTGCCACCTGGACACTGGGTGCTGGAGCAAGCCGAGCCATCCACACTCACAAACTCAGTATAGGAACAAGAAGCCATTGCACACCAGATTGATCACTGACATCTGCTTTATTTTATAAGACATCCACAGACATAGTGATAACAGCCCCCACACAATGACAGCCCCCTCTAATATGTTTCATCTGATAGGACTCTACTACTAAGTCCTATGGGGTGAAATACAGTATGTTCAAGGGGGTGGTCCTGAGCAGGGACTACTATTACTATGTCTATGGATATCTTTTACACTAAGCGGATGTCAGTGATTACTCCGGTGTGCAGTGATTTCTTGTTCATACCTTTTTTTTTTTGCTACACTTAAAATGGACCTTTAGCTCCCAGACACAAAAATCTATATTGCTCGCATCTCTGCATGAACATCTCTAAACTTCATTAGGATTTTGTATATATAAATAATTAATAAGTTACAATCCCCACCCTGCTTTTGTGAGCATTCACGATAATAAACGATAATAAACTTATTCCTATCAACCCACTATAAAAATATGGTTCCAACAAAGCAGCTGAAATAATAATCCATTACAATAAAAAAAAAAAAAAACCAGATCAAATATTATTGTTCAATACAACTCTAAGTGCATGTACACACTCCGGCCACTTTATTAGGTACACCATGCTAGTATTGGGTTGGACCCTCTTTTGCCTTCAGAACTGCCCTATTTCCTCGTGGCATAGATTCAACAAGGTATTATAAATATTCCTCAGATTTTGGTCCATATTATTATGAGTTACTGTTGCCTTTCTATCATCTCGAACCAGTCTTCCCATTCTCCTCTGACATCAACAAGGCATTTTCATCCACACAACTACCGGTCACTGGATAATTTCTCTTTGTCGGACCATTCTCTGTAAATCTCTGTAAACCCTAGATATTGTTGTGTGTAAAATCCCAGTAAATCAGCAGTTTTTGAGATACTCAGACCAGCCCATCTGGCACCAATATCCATGTCACATTCAAAGTCACTTTCTTCCCAATTCTGATGCTCAGTTTGAACTTCAGCAAGTTGACTTCACCACGTCTAGATGCCTAAATGCATTGAGTTGCTGCCATGTGATTGGCTGATTAGCAAGTTGACTTCACCTCGTCTAGATGCCTAAATGCATTGAGCTGCTGCCATGTTATTGGCTGATTAGCAAGTTGACTTCACCTCGTCTAGATGCCTAAATGCATTGAGTTGCTGCCATGTGATTGGCTGATTAGCAATTTGTTTTACCAAGCAATTGAACAGGTGTACCTAATAAAGTGGCTGATAAGTGTATATCCCCTTATTTTTGTCACACAATAAATATAATATATATAGTATATAAATTAATATATCACCTAAATGATATCACTTCAAGACTAGTAACAATAATAAATGTATACATAAGTCCCTAAAAAAACTGAACAGTGTCCCAGAATGAGCTGTAACTGATACAAAGTGATACAGTGTGCACAAAAATAGAAAAAAAAAAGAAGCAAATGTAGCAAAGCTTCTTTCTTCACTCTTGTGTGATGATGACCAAACATCCACCCTTAGAACTCCAAACCAAACCCTGTGTGTTATTTTCCACCAACATGGATCTAAACTCATCAAAAGATATTGCCACACTTTCACAAATATGACAATTGCATTTATGAGACCCCAGAAAGATGCAAGCCCTCTCTTCAATCATTAAGTTGACTTCTGATGTTTACATGAAATCTCTCCACCAGCGAGCATACAAAAGGAAGAGGCCATACATAGTATGATACAGTGGGATTAAAGCCTTTTATTAACACCCTTATACTCACATTTCAATTGTACAACAAAGCATCCAAAATGTCCCCCAAAAGACCACAGAAGTGAGTAGCAAGTGCTCCTGTTTGTGTCTCACACACAGCCGGCTGCACTGTAGTTGGAGACATTGCCCGGAGCACAGCTAAGTTCTGCCAATCAAGACACACAAAGCCTGGCTCTGCCTCAATGCATTTCGTCGGTCTGACAATTTCTTCCAGAGGATGAAAAAAGAAGTCGCCAGACTGACGAAATGCATTGGGGCAGAGCCCGGCTTTGTTTGTCCTATCAGCGGCACTCAGCTCTGCATCGAGCAGTGTCTCCTCTCACAGTGCATGTAGCTGTTTGTGAGACACAGACAGTAGCACATCTGACTAGCTCTGGGGTGTTTGGCTCACATGCCCCATCCCCTATGCTCCTCCCATCCTATTACTTACATGGGCACTAACTCCACCCATTACATCACTAGAGTCAGGATTCTAACATCCAAACACATCATTGCCTTTATTACACTATATTGGAAACAGAGTCACGTAGTGGCAGACAAACTAACAGAACCTGCCATCAAAGGTGGCTATGTTCCTACATACAGTGAGGTCATGGAGAATGAATGAACATAGCCACTCTTTAACAGAAAGTCAGATCACAACAGCAAAAAAATGGAAATTGGAGATTTGGAGGAGGCTGAGAGCAATAGCAGGCATTTATTTTAACTAAGAATTCATACTTTAATATATATTTTTATAACCAGAGCTTAGTGACCCTTTAATTTACCAGTCTTGAGAATGATTATCCCAGGTACCCAAAGATAGTAGGCTTGTGAGGTGGCAGTCACTTCCTGATTATGGGTTCCGTGCTTTAAAGCAGGGGTCTCTAAGCTTTCAAACAAAGGGCCAGTTTAGTGCCCTTCAGACTTTAAGGGGGGGGGGGGTAGGCGAACTGTGGCCAGTGGCTGTAGAAAATGCCCCAGTGTCAGTGGGAGAAAACAATGTCTCAGGCTTGGTGGTCAATGGGAGTAGACAGTGTTTCAGGCTTGGTGGTTTATGGGAGTCTGAAAAAGATGTGAGACTGGGGTGAAGGTTCACCTTCCTGAAGAACTACAACCCTAAACATACAGCCAGAGCTACAATGGAATGGTTTAGATCAAAGCATATTCATGTGTTAGAGTGGCCCAG